ACCTGAGCCACATCAAAAGCTGGTGAGAGGCTGCTCTGACCTGGAGAAGGGGAAGTGAAAAGAGTCAGTGATTCTGAGGTTTGAGATCAGGTGTGTGACAGGATGCTGTTGTGCAGACAGGTCAAGTGTGCATGGGCAGGTGCCTGGGAGAAGATGTGTGTCTGTGTCCCCATGCAGGCTTTCATTGCAGTGGTGTATGTGAGGCAGATGGCCAGGAGCAATGAAGAGGCAAGATGAACAGGAAGCGAGGGTGGGGGGCCGGGGGGCTGGTGGCGCTGTGTAAGTCGGAGAGTACTCACAGAGGCAGGATCTGGGTGGAGCTGAGATCCATCCACATGGAAAATGAGCAGGGAGGGCCAGGAAGACGAAATCTTGGGCAGGTCCACATTTGGGACCTGTAAAGGAAGGAATGACACCAAACATGCAGAGTATTCTTATCACATCAAAATCGAATCAAATTGGGGAAAACAGTTGGCTAATTAGTCATTGCAGTCACTTCTCATTGTAAATAACTAATAGATAACTAAGGGAAGAAAATGATTGATTTGATCTTATCAAGGTTGAGCATCAAAGCTAACAAGAAAGTGAAATGGTAGAATACAGAATGGGAGATGATTCTTGCATATCATATATCTGATAAAGGATTTGTGTCAGAATATTTGAAGAACTTGTATGGCTCAACAAGAAAGACCCAGTTTAAAAAACAAGCAAAGTATTCTGGATGGGTGTTTCTTTCGATGCACAAATGGTTGTTAAGTAGTTGAAGAGACTAGGATTTGCTCATTGCATACCAAGTAAAAGAAACCGGAAGAGAAAGACTGTGTGATTCTGTTGTGGGTATGTCCAGAGCAGGCTAACCCATAGAGGTTGATAGGTTACTTTCCAGGGACTGAGTGGGAGGAAGAGGGACCATAAGGGGTTTGGGATTTCTATTTAATTAATGAAAATGTTCTGTAATTAGAAGTTCTGAGGATTGCTCACTTTGAATATACCAAAACCTTGAATGTATTCATCTAAAAAGGGGTAAGTGTTAGGGTTTGAGCATTTAGCCTAGTGGGTGAGACAGTGCGTGGATGCTTTTTATTTGCGTTCCATGCTTATCTGTGGATCAGAAGACCTGTAAAGAAGCTAGGCTTGGCTGCTGTGGAGGACACTGAGGGAGAGACGCGTGGTCGGTGTTCCCAAGAGTAACTCATCCAGATACCATGGTTGAATCTGAGGGAGGGGTTGTCCTGAGTGAACTTTCTGGGCCTTATATTGATTGATTTAGAATTTGTATTGACCAGCCTGAAAGTTATGAGTAGCTTGCCTTGAAATGTGCTAGCTCTTTAATAACTAGACTGAACTCATCAGGCTGTTTGGAGAAAGAACATTGGGTTGGCCATTGGCACTGTAGGACTCCAGTTCTGATTGTACCGCTGACCCGATGTGGGATCTGGAACAGGAGGGCGGGGCACCTGTGTAAGTCTCGTCTGACTCTTCAGATGTTAGCCACCAAATCAGTCACTTCAGAGCTGCTTCAGTTTTGGGATCTTTTCACATCCCATGAGAATTGTAGCAAGCAGATACAGCCGTGAGCAGCTCCTGACTGTGTATTTTCACCAGCTGTGTTCTTCCTTCCTAAAGATGGACTGATTGATTTTAAAGAGGGAGTGACAGATCTTCCTTCCTCTGATTCACTGCCTAGATGGCTGCAGTGGCCAGGGCTGGGCCGTGCCAAAACCAGGAGCTTCATCTGGGTCTCCCATGTGGGTGATAGCGTCCCACATACTCAGGCTGTCTTTTGTGGCCTTTCCCAGGCCTCTAGCAAGCAGCTGATTGGAAGTGAGGCAGGTAGGACATGAACTATCACCCATATGGGATGCTGGCATCACAGCTAGTAGCTTTACCTGCTACACCACAGTGCTGGCCCCATCAGCCATGTTTTGAAGTGCATTTGTGATTCCACATGAACTCTGGGAGTGCCTTCCAAGCAGTAGTTACCAGTAGGTTCCTGTGCAAAGACCACCATGCTCTGCATCTAGAGACCCTGCAGGTAGAAGCTCACTCTGGGTCTCCCATATGGGTGCCGAGCCACCTTTGCTGTCTCAGAGTGAGCATTTCCAGGAAGCTGAATCCAGAGTGGAGCCAGGACTCAGGTGTGCGGATGTTGCAGGTGACAGGTAAGCGCCGTGCCAGTGCCTGCCCTGGCCCCTGTTGTTCTTGATTGTAAGCTAGTCATTGGTAGCAGCGATACTGTGTACATGCTATGTCATTTTTTCAAACTGCTTTAAAAAGTTTTCCGTTTGTGTTAGTAGTTTGACTATGATTTGTTTGTGGTGCTCTTTTTCACCTGTTTGGCATTATGTTGGATCTGTAAGCTCATGTCTTTCTTGTTTGGGGAAATTTTGGATCATTGCTTTCTCAAATACCTTTTATACCTCATTTTTAAAAAAAGATTTATTTATTTATTGGAAAGTCAGATATACAGAGCGGAGGAGAGACAGGAAGATTGTCCATCCGATGATTCATTTCCCAAGTGAGTGCAACGGCCAATGCTATGCCGGTCCAAAGCCAGGATCCAGGAACTTCTTCCAGGTCTCCCACACAGGTGCAGGGTCCCAAGGCTTTGGGCCATCCTCAACTGCTTTCCCGGGCCATAAGCAGGGAGCTGGATGGAAAGGGGAGCTGCCGGGATTAGAACTGGCACCCATATGGGATCCTGGTGCATTCAGGGAGAGGACTTTATCTGCTAGGCCACGCTGCCAGGCCCTATACCTCATTTTTTTCTCTCTATTAATGGTGTTAGACTAGGCTGTGACACAGTTATCTAGGCTCTATTCATACTTGTCTTTGATCTTTAGATTGGATTATTTGCTTATTTGACCTCATTTCACTCAATTTTGGTATCTTCTGTTAAGGTTTTATAACTTTAACTTTTTATTTTCAGCTCTAGAATTTCTTATTTGATTCATTCTAAATTTAATAATGTTTTACTGTGACAAGATGTGTGTACCAAAATTTACCATCATAGTTGTTTTTAAGTGTATGGTCCAGTGGTTACATTGCTGTGCAGCTGTTAGCACATCTGTCTACTGATGCTTCATCCTGTATAAGTGAAGCTATATCTGGTTCTTTGACGTTAGTTTCTCTATTTGCCCTCTGTTTACTCCTTACCCATATATGTATACTTTTAAAGATTGGTTTTATTTGTTCGAAGGGCCAAGTTAGGGAGTGAACATGTGCTGGAGACATCTTCCAGAGATCTTCCACCTGCTGCTTCACTCTCCAAATGGCCGCAGTGGCTGTGGTTGGGCCAGGCAAAAGCCAGGAGCTTTACTGGGTCTCCCACTTGGGTGCAGGGGCTCAAGCACTTGGGCCGTCTTCTGCTTTCCCGTTAGCAGGGAGCTGGATTAGAAACGGAGCAGCTAGGACTTGAACCATATAGGATGCTGTCACAGATAGCAGCTTAAGCTGATATGCCACACTATCAGCCCCCTTTATCTGTGTATTTTGCTTTAAGTGCTGAAGATCCCTATGTAATTGCTTTATCTGGTTCATTTTAGTATTAGTGTCTGTAGATCACATTTTTTTCCCTTGAGTATGGGTTGCATTTTCTTGTTTCTTTTCACCTCTCCTGATTTTTGATTGAACACTGAACTTCAGGCAAGATATATTCTAGAGAATCAGGATTCTGTTATGAGCTGATGAATTTTTGAAGCAGGTGGTCTGGCAGGGTTCATGCAAGCTCTGGGCTGTATTGCCTTTGTCAGTCTCTCTCTGCTTCCCTCTGCTGTTTTTTTTTTTTTTTTTTTTTTCCTGGGCCCTCAGGGATCTCCAGCAGACCTGGAGGTTCACTCCTGCTTTGGATACTCCCTTCCAGAACTTCCTTAACTTTCTGTCTTTTCCCCTGCACTATGCTGTGTCCTTAGTACCTTGAACCAGGCCATATAGGGATCAATGCGTATCCTCAAGCAGAAGGCTGACATCTCACTAGGTGTAGCGTGTGTGTGTGTGTGTGTGTGTGTGTGTGTGTGTAAACCATAGGAATACATTTCCCCCAGTTCAGGAGGTGAGACATTCTGGACCCCAGGGCCAGCAGGCTTGCTATTCTGATGAGACCCCTTCTTGGGTTGCAGATGTGGCTCCCTTCTCACTGTGTCCTCATGTGGCCTCTCCATGTGAGCGTGCCGGGCTTGTGGCTCTTTTTCCTCTTCTAAGGACATTCTTATGACCTCACTTAATCTGTTACCACCTTAAAGGCTCTGTCTCCACACACAGCAGCACTGGGGTTACACTTAGGAATGTTGCTGTAGGATGAGGAGATGGTGGGGGGAGTTGAGTCCAAGAGAATGATCATGACTCAGTCGCTAAGACATGGAAGGACAGGTCAGGAGGCAGAGCTGTGTGGTGCGGCTGTGTTACTGGTCAGAGTGTAAATACAGAATGCCTACTCTGTCCCAGGCACATTGTGATGTGCTGACAGCTCAGCCAAAGGCGAGACTTGCCCTGTCCCTGCCCTCAAATGGAACTTCTGGCCTGAGAAAGCACAGACACTAATGAGAGGTGCAGTAGGGGACGTGCTGGGGGTTCTGGGAGGGCAGAGGGGGCACTTGCAAGGTTAAGGAGTCGGAGAAGGGTACCCAGAAGAAATCCCTCAAACTGGAAGAGTAAGGAGTCAGGGTGATGATGAGTGCTTCAGAGCAGCATGTGCGGGAGAGCAAGTGCCTGCTGGGAGATGGGGAGCTGCCTTCATGGGCTGAAGCTGTGGAGCTGGGCAAGGAGAGTGCCGAGGAGATCAGGGCGCCTGTTTCAGCGGGATTAGAGCAGTCTCCACGAAGGCGTTACACAGTGACTCTGCTTTGCCTGGCAGGCCAGGCTGTGTAGGGAAGGTACACAGGTGACTTGTAGGGTTTGGGTGTGGGGGTTGGGTATGGTGGGTGGTCACCTCCCTGGGAGGCAGATAAGCACCCAGAGTTGTTGCCAGGCCCTTGACCTCAGCTTTGCTTTGTTGTTGTCAGGTCTGGACAGCGAGTCGGCTTCCAGCAGTATCCGCTTCAGCAAGGCCTGCCTGAAGAACGTGTTCTCAGTCCTGCTCATCTTCATCTACCTGCTGCTCATGGCTGTGGCCGTCTTCCTGGTCTACCAGACCATCACAGACTTCCGTGAGAAACTCAAGCACCCCGTCATGTCTGTGTCTTACAAGGAAGTGGATCGCTATGATGCCCCAGGTAGGGTCGGCCTGGGCCAGGCAGGTCCTCCCTGAGCAGCTGCTGTGTTCCCAGCACACTGCTGGGCCCTGGGCAGGGTGGAGGAAGCCAATTGCGGTCTAGATGAAAATGGCCAGCAGGCCTTGCAGAGTGTGCTGTGCACTGGGGAGACATGCACCAAGCCGGCGAGGTTGGGCCAGCTCTGCAGGGGGAGGGCTGGAGCTGGGTTTGGAAACAGGTCTGTGAGTGGGGAGAGAGTGCTTCTCAGAAGACCATCGGCATAAGGGAAGGGTTTCTAGAAAGGAGGAGGCTGGCCTGGCTGGAGCCAAAGGCCAGAGGTGAGGAGAAGCAGGAGTAAGGGCTGGACTGCATGGTGTGGAGGTTGGCTGGAGGCATGGAGGCCGTCCAGTGGTGGGCAGGAGCTCCCAGGCCATACCATATACTCCTTGCCTGTCTCACTGTGTGTCTAGTTCCCAGCAGAAAGTCACCTCTGCTGCCGAGGGTCCTGTCTGCTCCAGCGTGGAGCTGGCACTGGGCATCCTGGAAGCCATGGGGTGATGGGGAAGCCTGAGTGCTGTGCTTCTGGACTCTGGCCACCTGGTGCAGTGCAACTGTTCTGTGTACAGGCCTCCCCGAGTGACCATCCAGTGGCTTAGTCATGGGCGTAGAGTCTGAGCCCAAGCTGCCCCTGCACCCTGTTGGCTCCCTGACACTTCCCAGCACAGTCATCCTGTGTTTGCCTCTCTGTGTCTGCTTCAGGTTCATCACTGTGGGTTTTCCTTGCTGCTCCTTGTTTCTTGGTCGCCCTGAACTTTGTCTGGTGCCATATGTTGCTCTCATTTGAAGTGGGTGGCTGCTGTCAGTAGAGCCGTGCCCAAGGTGTTTGGGCTGGGAGAGGCTGGGCCTGCTGGGATGGATTTGCCTGTGGGAACTCCCGTCAGAGCAGAGGTGAGAGACAAAGGGACTTCTGGGGAATCTTACAACCCAGAGCCTCCTGGCACATGTGCACATTGATGATGGGCAGGCGGAGTGTGTGGCTGAGCTCAGCCAATCAGGAGGCTGTATTACAGCACAGAGCGGGGGTTTACTGAGGGTCTTGTGCCCTGCAGTAGAGATGGGCTTGACCACTGCTGTAACCTTCTTCCCCTGCAGTTCCCTGGCCGGTCCACACTATAGGCAGTTGCTGTGTGAGATGGTTTCAGTAGTGGGGCTGGGGCAGTGACTCCTGACATCCTCTTTGCCCTGTCTTGTGTCCACAGGCATTGCCCTGTACCCTGGTCAGGCCCAGCTGCTCAGCTGTAAGCACCATTACGAGATCATTCCGCCTCTGCGAAGCCCCGGCCAGCCAGGTGACATGAACTGCACCACACGGACCATCAACTACACGGACCCTTTCTCCAATCAGTCCTTGGTAACACCCATCGCCCTGAGTCCTCCCCAGGAAGGTCTTCCCATTGTGCCTGGCTTCATGCATGCCCCTCAGAGTCTCAGTGGGGTGACATCCTGACGCTGGTGGAAGAATGGCTCAGCGAAGGCCAAGGAGTGGGGCTGCTGTGACACAGTCAGGTGGTCCCCTGCCTGATGACATGATAGAATTGCCAGGATACTTTGTGAAAATGCAGATTGACAGGATCTATGTGAGGCCAGCTGGATTGTAATTTCTGCAGACCCGGCTGCAACGCCCCCTCCTTTGACGTCAGTAAGCCAGTGTATACAGGGAACGCTGGTGTGGGGATGAGAACTCGTGGGCCTGGCCTGGCTGCGCTGCCACACACAGCACTGCTCAGCTGGGGCCTGCCGGGCTGGGGCCCTGAGTGCATTGGGGAGCTGTGGCACCTTTAGAGCAGGCTGGGAGGGAGTTTATATTAACATCTGACCTCTCCTGCCCCACCTTCCTCAGAAAGGGTGAAGAGGGTTGTATATGGGATTTGCAGATTAAAAGGGAGGGTTTGCTAGGCAAAGGAAGCTGCCCATGATGACAGGGAGGGATGGCAGGCAGCTTTTACGGCTCTAGGGGAGCATGTTTCTGGGGGTCGGTATCCCCACCCCACAAGAGAGGTGGGAAATGGGAGAATCCATGTGCATTCTGTTGGGGGCCAGGCTGGGTAAAGGGGTGCTGTTAGGAGGTCTGAGATGAAATAGGCACATGGGGGATGTGTGTATGTGTGTTTTCTCTTCATATTTCTTCTTTTAAAACGTTTATTTTTATTGGAAAGTGAGATATGCAGAGAGAAGAGACAGAGAGGAAGATCTTCCATCCTATGGTTCACTCCCCAAGTGTCTGCAACGGCTGGAGCTGAGCCAATACGAAGCCAGGAGCCAGGAGCTGTTCTGGGTCTCCCTCCTGGATGCAGGGTTCCAAAGCTTTGGGCTGTCCTTGGCTGCTTTCCCAGGCCACAAGCAGGGAGGTGGATGGGAACCAGGGCTGCCAGGATTAGAACTGGTGCCCATATGGGATCCTGGAGCATTCAAGGCAAGGACTAGCTGCCAGGCTACCACGCCAGGCTCTTCACGCCATACTTCTAGAACCCTGTTGAAATCGTTCCCACCTCTGCCAATAAATAAATAAGATGGATACCATAGGATGTTGGAAATACTCCTGTGCAAACTGAGGGGGTGAGAATGGCATTTGAGGGAGTTGTGTAAGCTGGTAAGACAGTTTGGGATCAGTGGTGGAATAAACAAATGTGCGAGAGCCTGTAACCCAGTCAGGTGTGGGACAGGGCAACCCATGGGACCCTCCCCATGGCGGGACAGGCTGGAAGTCTGTGTGTCCAGTGCGTTGCCCCAGGGTAGCCTCTGTGTGTGTGGCCTTTTGGCAGGGAGATTCCGCCTTGAATCTGCGGTGGACGTTAGGGAACAGCCTCCTGCAGGGCTGTGTGGTGTCGGGCGGCTCCAGGGCGGCTCCAGGACTGAGCACCGGGGCTTGTTACCACCCTGCTCCCACTGCCTTTGTTGTCACTGAGTCTGTTTTTTCAGGAACCTGTGGGCTCCTGGCTGTTTTGCATACAGGAGAGTGCAAAAGTCATTCCTTTTCAGGGTCTCATCCTCTCTTCTTCAGCAGTCCGGATTTTCACTAATTTTTGTGGTTTCCCTCCTGTGCTATCAGCTTTTACCAAATGCTGTGAGGGTGGCTGCCTTCCCGCCTGCAGGGTCCCTGTCTGCCTTCCTGCTGCTTGCTGTCCCCAGCCGTGAAGCCAGGGCCTCATTCTTGGGGTGTTTGGGGTACAAAATTCTGCTTCCAGCTCACAAAATCTGTGTTCAAGCATGCGTTCGATTCCTGTGCAGCAGGGAGACTCCCAGGGCCAAGTCTCCATGTCCCTTAGGGAACAACACGGGCAGTGCACCGAGCAGAGCTGCTGTAAGGACTCTGCACAGACACTTCTGTCTTGTCCCTGTGCTGTCCCCAGGAGCTGCCCTTGTCCACTTGGCTGTCGTGTGTGCAGATTCCCACTCCTGGGAAGTGACAGTGGGCTTGCTATTGCTTTTTTTTTTTTTTTTTTTTTTTAATATTTTTGTTTGAGAGGCAAAATTAGGAGAGACACAGAGAGCTTCCATTCACTGGCTCATTTCCCAAGCAGCCACAATGGCTGGAGCTGAGCCAATCCAAAGCCAGGACCCACATGTGGGTGCAGGGGCCTAAGCGCTTGGGCCCTCCTCCACTGCTTTCCCAGGCCATCAGCAGGGAGCTGGGTGGGAAGTGAAGTAGTTGGGGCAGAAGCTCGTGGTGTCCACGTAGGATGCTGGTGCTGCTGGCAGAGGCTTAGTGGGCTATTCTGGCCCTGGCCTCTAAATGGTTCCCTTAAAAAAAAAAAAGACACTGAGTTGCATGAGTCACTTTTACCCAGGTTTTGGGAACTCCATCACATGAGCATGTGCGAGGCGCCAGCAGTGAGGGCCAGCAGGGTGACTGTTGGGCCACAGTCTGGCATGGGAAAGCAGTTTGCTCATACTGGAAGAAGGCCTTGCAGTGGAAACTGGCACAGTGAACCTGCCTTGCTGCACTGTGAGAACTAAGTGTGGCACACAGGGGCAAGTTCACAAGTGGATGAGGATCGTAAAGGTACCCCGAAGGCCCGGGCATGGGGCTGCAGCTGCCAGTCAGGATGGAATCCCAGGGCAGGGGATTGAATAAGAACAGCCGCTAGCCCCCAGTAAAGGAGGCTGAGCAGACCTCGGTAGGGCTAAGACTGCACCATTCTGTGCTCCAGCCGAAACCTGTGCAAAATTAAAAATAGCCTCAGTTCTTAGCGGGTGACTTGAACACGCCTTTCTGGAATCCCAAGATCAGGTAGGCACAGAGTGGTAAGGAAAAGAATGGAGGTGTGTGTGAGGTGTGTGTGTGTGTGTGTGTGTAAAGCTTACACTTCTGAGTTGTAGGACCTTTTTAAAAAGGTGATAGTATGAGGAGAAAATGTATCAGTTAAGTTCATCAACAAAGTGTAATGTTTTTTGTTTTTTGTGGAAGTGAACAAGCTGGTTTCCAAGTACATTTGGAAGAGCACATGTATAGGACAGGTCCGAGACAGCTTCGAAGGAGAGCGTGGAGGGCACTGCCCGGCTAGGTGACAGAGCTTTGAAGGAGGACGTGGAGGGCACTGCCTGGCTAGGTGACAGAGCAGTGGGAAGCCCAGAAGCTGCAGTGCGGGCAGCAGGCTGGGAGACTGGTGGCCTGCAGGAGGGCTCTCAGCAGACACGTTGGTTTTGTGTTTGAGTTTACCATGTGGTAAAGGAGGAGAGGACCTATGTGAGTCAGGGGGTCAGAGTTAGGGGGCCTCATACTGTCTGTCTGCAAAACTTTGGTTATAAGGTATGTACATGTAAACATTTTAAATAGTATTCAAGGAGGGTCCAGTGCGGTAGCTTAGCTGCTAAAGTCCTTGCCTTACACACAATGGGATCCTATCTGCGTGCCGGTTCTAATCCCAGTGGCTCCGCTTCCCAGCCAGCTCCTTGCTTGTGGCCTGGGAAAGCGTGGAAGATGGCCCAAAGCCTTGGGACCTTGCACCCATGTGGGAGACCAGGAGGAAGCTCCTGGCCCCTGGCTTTGGATCAGCTCAGCTCCGGCCATTGTGCCCACTTGGGGAGTGAATCATCGGACAGAAGATCTTCTGTATATCTGACTTTCCAATAAAAAAAAATGTTTCAAAAAAAGTATTTAAATATATACTAAAGTATTGATGTAAAGAAAAAGACCTGGAAGTCTCAGTATATCAAATTGAAACCTTCTGTCTAGTAAATGGCATTAGAAACAGTCATAAATGACACAGTGGGAGAAGACATTCCATAGGATGTAATGAAGAGACCCTCCTTACTGAGCTGGAGCTTCCACGGCGCAGTCTGCCAGTAAGGAAAGTGGGCCGAGACTGGCCACTTTGGGTTTTGCTCTGGGTCTGGTGCTGAGTACCCAGGTCTGAGCAGGAGCCTGGGCCGAGGCCCTGTGCGCCTTGCCCAGCTGACAGTAGCCGGAAGTCGGTTGGGAGGCTGCAGGGCGCACAGCTGTGGGCTTTGTGGGGCCGCACGGGGTCATATGTACCTGAAGATGTGTGGCCTGTGAACCGTGGGGCCCCTGGGACCGAGTCTGCGCTTGTCTCCCTGCAGAAGTCGGCCCTCATTGTCCGGGGGCCCCAGGAAGTGAAGAAGCGGGAGCTGGTGTTCCTGCAGTTCCGCCTGAACCAGAGCAGCGAGGACTTCAGCGCCATTGACTACCTCCTCTTCTCGTCCTTCCAGGACTTCCTGCAAAGGTGGCCTCAGGGCTCGCGCTGGGCGCACAGCTGCTTGATTTCATGTTCCCCTCTTGCTCGCCTGTCGCTGGGCTGAGGACATACAGGCGAGGCCAGAGTTAGAGAAGTGGTGCTGTCTGGGGATCCGGCAGCTGGGGGCTGGCTCTCCTGGGCCAGAGTTGGGCGAGGCCGCCGAGGAGGACTGTGTTGGCTGCTCCTGGAGACACCCTCGCCTGGGGAGCTAAAGGGTACAGATGTCCCTTTGCCCTGCTGTGCGAGGGTTCCAGTGTGCATTTGTCCCTTGTGAAGGCCATGCGTGTTGGTCTCAGATACCCCCTTGTAAGAGGGTATGAGGGGTGTGGGTCTGCCAGATGCTTTTGGCTTTGCTTGGGAGTGTCCCACCGTAAGCAGGTTCCTGTCTGCTTCGTCTGCCGGGCTCTGGAGGCTATGGGAACTGGGGTGCCCCCCAGGAGTCAGAGCGTTTTGTGTGTGTGCTGGGGTTCAGGGGACTCGGCCCCTGCCAGGTCCTGCTGGACCTGCTGAACTCCATCTCACTGAGGCAGGGAGGTGGTGGCCGTGGCTGCTTTGAGCTGAGGGCCTCTGCTTTAGTGTCTTCTACCCAGTCCGCCACCCACAGTTCCCTCTTCTTTCCCTCTTACACTTGGCCTGTTGCCTTTACCCTGGGAGAGTTCCCAGAGGGTCCTGCTTGTGCTGCTTGCTTGGTGAGCTTCCTCGTGGCTGGGCTGCAGCTTCTGCTTGCTCCTGGGGGTTGGATTTTTCTGTATTGGCAGTGCCCTTGGGCGTCCCCGGACTGACAGCTCCGTGAGGAACCCTTTCCTCTGGTCCTTCTGGAGGGAGGTGACCAGCCAGGGCAGGCTGCCTGAAGCTCTGGGCGCCCTGATGGAGCTGGAAGCACTGTGTCCCTGGACACTTTGCCCATTGCCTTGGGAGTAGGTGATGGGAGTGGTGAGTGGGAAGGAAGAGGGATTCTCTCATTAGGAGATGTAGGGGTTCTTGCTTTGGCTGGTGACTGACAAATATCCCCATTGAGGCAGTCTTGGGGAAACAGTGGGCATCACGCTGCTTGAGCTAACAACGAAACCAACTTGAATTGGTGGGTGGAGTTTGGGTCTGACCACCCTGGCATCCTGCTGCCTGCTGTGGAATAACCTGGGCCTTTCTACTGTTTGTGTTCAAGCCCAGACAAGGTGGGCTTCATGCAGGCCTGTGAGAGTGCCTATTCCAGCTGGAAGTTCTCTGGGGGCTTCCGCACCTGGGTCAAGATGTCGCTGGTGAAGACCAAGGAGGAGGATGGGCGAGAAGCTGTGGAGTTCCGGCAGGAGGTGGGTGGCTCAGGGTGCGCTTGGGCCTGCTTGTGCCTTCTCCACGCCTGGGCCTGGCGTCAGGGAGAAGCTCCTTCGAGCAGAGTCCTTTTCTGGGTTGAGCAGGGATCCTGTGAGGGCTTCATAGGCCATGCCAGAATTGGCATGTTCGTTAGGCAGCACATGTGCCTGTCAGTGCTTCTAGAACATGGGTGTGGGGCGGGGATGGCTGGGTCCTGTAGAGTCGGGTACCTCGGCCAGGCTGTCAGATGCTCTGAAAGACTGTGATGGTGTAGCAGGGCAGGGAGGCTGCAGTCTGTGGCTTCCCACCTGTCCTGCTTCCCACAGCCCATTGGGAGGCAGCAGGAGAGGCGAGTTCTCTTCTTGTGGTATTCCCCCCAGAAGATTTATTTGTTTACTTGAAAGTCTGGCAGAAAGACAAATATATCTGGCAGAAAGATCGGCTGGTGCACTGACCAGATGATCACAGAGGTGTCGGCTGCACCAGGCCTGAACCAAGAGCTGGGAGCTCCATCCTGCTCTCCCGGCTGGGTGTCCAGAACGCCAGTGTGCGTATCCTCGTCTGCTCTCTCCCGGGCTCCATAGAAGAGAGGCGGATTGAAGTTATGCCCAGGCCTGGGTGGGCACTCTGGTGTGGGAGTGAGCATCACGAGAGGCAGCTTAACACACTGTGCTGCATCACTCCTTTTGTGTTTATTAACTTTTTAACATTCCTGTTTTTTAATGTTTTAAAATGCATATGACATTAGAACAATAACTGTGTGCTATATCAGAGTTAGGGGTTTAAATGTGCTGGGTGCATACATGAACGTTTTCAAATGAGAGATCTGATCAGAATGCTTTCAGCTCCCTGGGCTGGAGGCCACAAGATCCCTGTGATTTGTGGGGGAAGTCCCTGTGATCCAGCAAGAGGTGCCCATGATACAGGAGCACCTCGAGGCAAGGCAAGGCTGCAGAGGTGGACTTGGATCGTAGCTGTGTAAAGGGCTGTTGCTCCATCCCCTGCAAAGCAAGGCCCCATCCCTGCTTCTGAGGCTCCCCTGCCCCCTGGTGGCTTTGCCTTCTTGTTGCATGCACATCGAGACCAGGCCATCCTGTGCGTGACTGGTCCTGCCAGGGACCGAGGAGGAGGAGCAGGACATGTCTTCGGACCTGTTCCTCCTGGAGGTGGCCTGGCCTGGGCTCCGAAGCCAGCATTAGGAAAGGTGTGTGTTGAAACAGGAATTCACGCTGGCGACCACCTGGGCTCTCTGGGGCCTGAACCCTGAAGTTGCTGCTTTGCACCCCTGGGTCCCTGCACTGCTCCAGGTTGTGATGTCTGGGAGAGCCTTACCCCAGGGGCCGGCCGTCATTCCTGTCCTCTCTCCCACCGCCATGAAAGGTCCCTAAAATATTCCCGCTTTGCAGGGTAACTTCTCTCCTGGACATTGATTGCACATTTTACTCCAGGAACCCTAAATTCTTTCTCTTGACTCTAAAATTGGTTGTCCCCCTCCTGCTGGCTCCAGCTGTGACAGGAAGCCAGAGGGGTGAAAGCCCCAGGGAGCCTATGAACTTGCGAAGTTTCATGCCTTTTGTTATCTGAATTGGTAGTCTTTCGCTGAGGTAGTGAGATCTTTGGAACAACGCTAGAACTTTGTCTCTCAAGTTTTAGAGTTGAGGATGGAGGGTGTTTGACTTGAGCCTCCCCAGCGCGCAGTGATGTGGGCGTTCTCCTTCCTGGGGGGTATCAGTGGGCCGGCTCGGAGCAGGTCGGGAAGCCGGGCTTCTTCCTCTGTAGCTGTGAAGGGTTAAGACCCAGCCCTTAAGATCAGGAAGTTTAAGTTTTGGGTGTTTCATTGGTTTAATTGTGACTGTGACATGGTGATTTGAATATGGTCTAACTATGGTTTAATCAGATACCTGAAGACAGGTTTCAGAAACAGTACCCACTGAATCTCCGATTCTCATTTCCTAAAGAACCATGGAAGCCAAGGTGAGGAGATGTGTGGATCAGTTTGGGCTCTTGAACTGGTGGAATGGGGGAGCCCAGGCCCGGGTTCCCCTTGTACTCTGTCTCCCCCATGGCCCAGGCGGAGGGGGAACGGCCAGAGTTGACGTGACTGTCTGTCTCCCGTGTCTAGACGAGTGTGGTGAACTACATTGACCAGCGGCCAGCCGCCGAGAGAAGTGCCCAGCTGTTTTTTGTGGTCTTTGAATGGAAAGATCCTTTCATCCAGAAAGTCCAGGACGTGAGTACTGTTGCCTGAGCACGCTCCCTGCGCTGCACTGTTGGCCACCAGCCGCACGGAGCTGTTCCCGCCTTCTTCCGTGGCGTGGCGTGGCGTGTTTAGCTCATCTTGTCTCCACTCAGACCATTGTCTCTGTGAAGGTGGAGTCCTCGTCATTTGTCTGCTGTTCCTTTGATATCTGGCAGAGTGCTTTGCCCAGAGTATCTGCTGAGTCTGCCTAGTAATACTAGCTGGATAAGTTAGGTAGAAAGACCACACCGATGACTGTCAACGGAGGCCACTTCTTTTAGGAAGAGAGGAAGGTACACTGATTAGCCAGCTGCGACTCCCAGTCTCGGACAGGGTGGGTGACGGGACAGCTGTGCTCAAGGAGCCTTCAGGACCCAGCACCCACCCGAGCCAGTGTTAGCCTGGCACTGGTTTGGCTTTTGGGTTACCACAAAATATCTTGATAAGATCCCAGCTTAGGAGGGAAATTTCCTAGCTGAGTCTCGCACTCCTAAGCTTTGCAGCCCCAGCTCTGGCTCTTGTGAGGCGGTTGCGTGCTGTGTCACTCACTTCTGCTGTTGATTATGGATTGGGAGGCTGTGGGAGGGGCTTATGCAGAGGCTTCCTGGACAGAAACTTGAGGTGGAGAGAATACTTTTTAACTCTGTAGGTGAGCTGTGTGGTTGAACTTAAAAAAAAAATTTTATTTTTGTTTCCTTGAAAGAGTAACAGAGAGGGAGGGACAGACACAGAAAGCTACCCCCCAATAGTTCATTCCCGCAAAGGTCCACAGCGGCTGGACTGGGGCCAGGTGGAACCTGGAGCCAGAAACTCCGTCAGTGTCTGCCACGTGGTTCCAGGGACTCAGGCACTTGAGCCATCACCTGCTGCCGGCTGAGGTGTGTACTAGCAGGAAGCTGGATTGGAAGCAGAGCAGCCAGGACTTGGATTGACAACAGGATGTGGGCGTCCCTAGTCGTGGCTTAACGTGCTGCCCCACAGCACCCACTCCTGAAATCTTCAACAGCTGTATTCAGCACGAAGACCGTGTCCCGAACCAAGCAGAGACCCCTACAAGAGGCCAGCTTTCCTTGGGTGGCTGGTGAGCTTCCCAGCAGTTCCAGAACAGTGGTGACAGACCTCTCTGCATGGGTGAATGCTCAGCTTGGCCAAGGTCACTCTGCAGACCTGGACATAACAGTGTTTCTTTTTTCCATGCTTCAAGATTCAGCCATCCAAGTTAGAACTTCTGCTTTAAAGTTCAGGTTTAGTTGAAGGGGAAGTCTGTTGATTTAAATTGCTTATTCCCGACAATAAGTATTGAGGGAATTGTGTGTGCTGAAATCACCGAGGACTTTGGCTCAGTGCCCAGGGCCCTGGACTGCTGCAGGATTAGTCCTGGGAGCATGAAGGAAAGCCTCGGTGGGGGGAAGGGCACATGGGGGAACCAAGGCTCAGCCTGGGAGTCACTGGGGCAAGGTGGGGAGCAGACGTGTGGCACAGAGCTAAGTGTGAGGTGGAAGAAAGGAGAGCTGACCCCCGGGTGGTTTGGGTGATTGATCTCCAAGCCAGGCTGCTCCCGACTGCTGGAGTGGCCAGAGGCCGTGCCATCTCCGGCGGGCTCTCAGGAGGCATGTCCGTCTTTCAGGACCACTGCACTCAGGAGGGGCTTGCTGCCTTGGTCAGGGTCTGGACTGTGAGCACAGAGTGGGTGGCACTTTCAGGCATGAGGGGGTGTGTGCTTGCAGTCCCAGTGACGTGGAGATGCTGCAGGCAGAACTCTAGTGCGGCTCCGGCAGGTAGTGACCGTGACCCTGGTCTGCTTCTGTCTCACAGATCATCACCGCCAATCCTTGGAACACGATCGCGCTTCTCTGTGGGGCCTTTTTGGCACTATTTAAAGCGGCGGAGTTTGCCAAACTGAGTGTGAAATGGATGATCAAAATCAGGAAGAGGTACCTCAAAAGAAGAGGTCAGGCAACGAATCACATCAGCTGAAGCCGCGTGTGAAGCCAGTCGCACTGCCTGTGTCCGTGGAAGCCCTCCTCACTTCCACCTTGGTAAACTGAGCTCCTGGCAAGCCTGCCCTCACCTGGAGAACTGGGGCCTTGCTGGGGGCACCTGTCCTATTGGACCTGCTCACCTGGCCGGCCTGAGGGCTGTCGGAGCCAGATGGAAAAGATCCAGGGGACAGCCTAAAAGCTATTTAAGAATTTAAATTATTAAAGAGCATTCCCCCACCGTTGCCCAGGGCCTCGGCCCAGGGCTTGTGAAAAGGGGCTTTTCATCCTGCTGGGCTAACAGCAGCCCTAACCCGATGATCACAGCTCTGCTCTCTGCCCTAAGTGTTGCCCTGGACCAAGTGTGTGATTCTTTTTTTTTTTTTTTTTTCTTTTTTAAACACAAATCTTGTTAAGATGTACAAGATGTGCCCTGGAGCCTTTGTGCTGTACACCAAGAAAGGCAAAGCCCTTGGGACCTGCGAGCCTCTGGCAGGCTGTCCCACTGCATCCTTGTAAAATGAGATTTAAAGCTACTGGAAAGTAGTAATTAAATATCTTGCCAGTTGATTAGCTGTCTTCCTGTTTGCCTGGAAAATGTATTGATACGGATGTGAGTTTGGCATGATTAACACTCAGAAGTGCTGGGGTGGATGGAAACAGGAGATGCCTACTAAGTGTGCTTTGATGATTTCATTAGCAGCTCAATAAGCTAGGTTAATGCAAAAGGAAGGATTGACCGCCCTGGTTGCAATCACTGCTCATTCAGTAAGCTTCAGAATTCCTTCAGCTGTGACCTCCAGAAACAAGTTAGCCATACTCCGAGGTGGACGTTCTGGCTCCTGAGTGGCATCCCCACTGCTCCCAGGAGGGTGAGGAGGCAGGAGACGTGGCAGCGGGAAGCCGTGTTAACAGTTCCCGTGTCCTGCCACGCTCCATCTGGGAAGAGGACTCAGCAGGACCCTTGGAGCTGTACTTGGCTGAGGTATTCCTCTGACACAGACGGGGACCCATCAAAAAGCAAAGCCACACAGGCATTTTTCACATTGATTGGAGGTTGTAAAAATTACTTCCTTAGTCCTCTTTTGTTTTTTTAAAGATTTATTCATTTTCATTAGAAAGTCAGATTTACAGCTAGAAGGAGACAGATTTGCTAATTCACTGGTTCACTCCCAAAATGGCCACAACGTCTGAAGCTGAGCTGGTCTAAAGCCAGGAGCTTCTTCCAGGTCTCATTTGGGTGCAGGGTCCCAAGGCCTTGGGCCATCCTGGACTGCTTTCCCAGGCCCTCAGTAGGGGAACTGGATGGGAAGTGGGGGAGCTGGGGGTCAAACCTGCTCCCATATAGAATGCCTGGGCTTGGGTGGAGCATGAGCCAGTTGAGCCAACGCACTGCCCCATATGCAGAGTTTTAAACTATTTTAACACACCCATTATACCAAGATTACTTGATAGCATTTTCTAAGTTCTCATGATCTGGCTTTAGATAGTCTTAAGAAGACAGCTCAGTTGTATGACTAGGATATTTCTCTTACATTTGATTGAGTAGCCAGAAGTTGGTTCTGGTCAAAGTATTAAATGTGAACTGGTAAAGAAAATTCTCCCTGCTAAGGCCCTCCCTGCACAGTAGCTCAGTGGCTAAAGTCCGTGCCTTGCATCCCGGGATCCCATAGGACACCAGTTCTAATCTCGGTGGCCCTACTTGCATTCTAGCTCCCTGCTTGTGGCTTGGGAAAGCAGTGGAGGATGACCCTAAGCCTTGGGACCTTGCACCCATGTGGGAGACCCAGAAGAGACTCTGAGGCTCCTGGCATTAGATCGGCACAGCTTTGGCCATTGCAGTCACTTGGGGAGTGAATCATTGGATGGAAGATCTTCCTGTCTCTCCTCCTCTCTGTATATCTGACTTAGCAATACAAATAAATACATCTTAAAAAAAAAAAAAAAGATACTCCCTGCTGCTTCTCTGCTTCACAGAGAAAAGCTTGAGAATTCTAGTGTTCGCCTAGGTCTCCATAGAATGTATGAGTGCGGGGCAGGTGCAGAGCCAGGCAGGGACAGTGCTGAAGGGCGGAGGGCGTGGCTGTTAAAGCTTCCCTAAGGATGACTGGGCATTTTCACACTACTTGAGTAGCTGATCCAGTGCTGGGAAACGTACAGAAGCTGTTCCTGTCCTGCGGAAGTCTTGGGCCCTTTAGATGTGCTTGAGGTAGATGAGTGGATGATTAGGAAGGAAGTGAATATTTTTCAGTTCCAAGAAAAACATTTTTAAGATTTATTCATTTTTATTGGAAAGGCAGATTTACTATGGGAAAAGGAGACAGATCTTCCTTCTGCTGGTTCACTCCCCACGTGGCCCCAATGGCTGGAGCTGAGCCAATGCAAAGCCAGGATCCAGGAGCTGCTTCTAGTTCTCCCACATGGGTGCTGGGGCCCAAGGCTTTGGGCCATCTTCCTCTGCCATTGCGGCTACAAGCAGCAATCTGGATGAGAACTGGAGCATCTGGAACATGAGTTGACGCCTATATGGGATGTTGGTGCTTGCAGGTGGAGGTTAGCCAATTGAGTCATTGCACTGACCCCTGTTATTTTTTTTTTTAAAGATATTGGAAAAGCAGATTTACAGAGAGGAGAGGGGGGAAAAACAACAGCTGCAGCCTGTCAGAATCCACTCTTGTTCCCTTTAATGGAAGAAATACATCCCTAAATGTGTACAGAAAAACCAACCCCACTATTCAGACCCACTCTTTGCCTTTTATTTTGTGTTTTGTACTGGGATTGTCCTTCGGATTGGCTGGCCCTGTAGCCAGTGGTGCTGGCTGTTCCGGGTTAGTGTGAGGAAATCTGCAGGATGCTCTCTGGCTGGACCTGAGCACGTGGCCCCAGAACACCACAGCTTGAGCACCGAGTGGACTGTGAGCTGCTGCACTGAGCGGGACCTGCTTTCATGGTAACGCGTAGTCTGCTGGCGTTTTTACTGTCACTGAGGAGGAAGTAACCGTGAGTAGTTGAGAACACTACTGATGTCTGACTTCTCACTGCCAGTCGCTCTGCCCTTCACCAAAGTACGCTTATTTGTTATAGACACATAATAATCCTCGGTCTATCCTAATTATATTAGCTTTTTAATTCTGGTGTAGCGAGTTAAGCTGCTGCCTATGACACCAGCATTGCATGAGGGTGCTGGTTCGGATCCCAGCTACTCCAGTTCCATTCCAACTCCCTGTCCATGTCCTGTGAAGCAGTGGAAGATGGCCCAGATGACTGGGCCCCTGCCACCCACATGGGAGACTGGGGCGGAGTTCAGGACTCCTGGCTTTGGCCTGGCCCAGCCCTGGCCATTGTGGCCAGTGAAGGATCTAGCTTCATGTGTCAAGGATCTGCTGGCTGTAAATACGTGGGTTTACTTACATTTCACTGTGTATCTTTATGGCAGTAGCATTCTGTTGTGGTTCCATATGCGTTAGTAGTGTTTCTCCTGGGTCTGTGAGAAGTATCACTGGTATGTTGATAGCGATTGCCTCAAACTGCTTTTAGAATGGCCTTTTATATAAAGGCAGAGTTACAGGGAGACATATCTTCCATCTGCTGTTTCACTTCCCAAATGGCTGCGAGGTGCTGGGCTGGCTAAAGCCAAGAGCCTTGAACTCCATCTGTAGGATATCAGATGCCTTTTCTGATGTATTGAGATCATCCTGAGGTTTTTGCTGGGAGCCAGCAGCTTCTTTGGGTGTCCTAAGTGGGTGCAGGAAGGGGCCCAAGGCCTTGAACTATGTACTGCTTTCCCAACCCATAAGCAGGGAGCTGGACTAGAAGTGGAGTAGCCAAGACTAAAACGGTGTCCATCAGGGATGCTGGCACCACAGGTAGAGAGATTAGCCCACTACCACCACTGTACCCGTCATGTGATTTTTGTCCTTCATCCTGTTGATAGCGTGTATCATGTTCATGGATTTGCATGTATCATTGAGCCCCTGGGATAAATCCCATTTGATCATGGTAAGTAATTTTTTTAATGTCCTATTGGATTGTTTGCTTGCATTTTGTGAAGAGTTTTTGTACTCTACAAGGATATTGGCCTGTTGCTTCTCTGGTATCAGGGTAATGCTTGCCTCTTAGAATACATTTGGAAGAATTTCCTCTTCTATTTTTTGGTATGATTAAGAACTGTCAGGACCTAGAGTGTTTGGTAGGATCTGGCGGCAGCAGGCTTTTGGTCCATGGGAGACCTCTTGCTTTGTTAGAGATTCCGTGTCACTCTTGTTATTGGTGTCTCCAGGTGTCCTCCCCCCATGACTTGATCTCAGGCTGTGTGGCCAGGAAACTGCATTCCTTCTAGATCATCCGACTTGTCAGCATGTCTTGTTCATGATGACCCCCGAGTCCTGTGTGCTGCTGTGCTGTCCCCTGCAGTGTCTCCCTTTCCCTCTCTGGTTTGATTGAGCCTTTTTCCTTAATCTACTTCAGGGTTTGTCAATCTTTTCCAAGAACCAGCTCTTTGTTTCATTTATTTTCAGTCTGCATTACATTTATTTCTGCTCCAATATGTATGTTTTTACTTCTGCCAATTTTGAAGCTTTTTTTTTCCTTGGCTTCTTGGGATACAACATTAATAATTTGGGATCTTTTTCGTTCGTTAATGTAGGCATACATTTTTAAAATTGAAAGTTTATTTGAAAGGTCACAGATAGCGTGGGGTCTGTTTTGAGGGTGGAGGGGTCAGGAGGGAAGAAAGCACCGCTACTTGTTGCCAGTCTTCATGTGACCTTGGGTAGGGGTGCCCAGAGAGCGGAAGTCCTGGTCGAGGGGTCCTCTGATGGGGGGAGGGATTTACGGAGAGGGCCAGTGCGGCTTCCTGCTCGTGTTGTCTCTAGGTTTGGAATGTTGTACTTGGGTTTTCCTCAGTTTTTATCTCAATCCATTGGTTGGTTAGGAGTAATTGATTTCTGTGTGTGTGTGTGTGACTTCTAGCTTAATGGCTTTATGGTCAAAAAACATATTCCACGTGCTGTCAAGTACCCTGAGGCCGAGAGGGCAGCGCAGGCCTGAGGGTGTGCGCCCAGTGACAGGCTCCCTCCCCGTCAGGGCAGTTCATCTAGGGTGCAGTCTGTCTCTGGTACCTTTTTTATTTTCTGTCTGATAGGGGATTTTAATACCACCTCTACCCCCAATCTCTCCCTTTAAAAGCCTTTTAGTATTTTCTTTATATTTTTGGGTGCTCCTGTATTGACAGTTGCTTGTGTTTATTGAATTGCTCCTTGGTTACAGAAAATGATATTGTCTCACTGCTTTGTTTTATGAAAAGGATTCATTTTTTCTATTGGAAAGGCAGAGTTCCACTTAGCTACCAGCTAGCCACACAGCTAGCGTACAGAATTTTATGCATATGCTCTGAGTCAGATGTGCACACAACCTTCCCCTATTTTACAGTTAGAATGCATTCCACAATTAGAAATTTCTACAAATAACTTATGTATAGTTCAAGAGGAGCAAGCTTCTAGATAGCACTGAAAGAAACAAAGATGACATAAGGCAAAATACAAACATAGACTTTATTCAATGCTGCTCAGTCCTCCGATGAGGCTCTTTCATTACAAAACCGTTTTCTACACAACTGCAGGTTAAGAGATTGGAATGGTACTCTGATAAAAGATGTGAGAAATACTTGGCCAAGTAAAAACATACAGGACCCCTACACAGGCAACTTCTTAAGAACGCGACAGATGCAGCCTACTGCGTTTCCTTTCAGTACAGCCAGGCGTGATGAGGAGCGCGGCACCATCACGAGCTGGGACTCCAAGCCCCATCCTGGGCTCCGGCCGGGAAGGGCCTGCCTTCAGCCTTTGAGAGGAGGAATGAACAGAGGCAACCTCAGGGTTTATCTGGCCGCCCCTACTAATCTGTGTTACCACTCGGGAGTTGCAAATGAAGGGCAATACTCAAGAGGAAGTTTGGTTTACTTTCCCAGCTTTGAATTTTGTGCTTTCAAAAGCCTGGAGGTTTAAGGTTTTGCTCAAATTCCAGAGTACAGTGACCCCTTCAGTGAGAAAGGCCTGGGGCAGTAATGCTCCCTTCTGGGAGACGCAGCTGGGAAGGCTGAGGCCTTAGTTTACTGTAGGAAAGATTCCTTTTCCTAGGATGTAGCTAAGGGCTGCAGCAATGTTAAAAAGCACATTATAAAAGGGAATAATATACAGAGCAGTCTACTCTATGTGCAACACAATCAAAAAATAATTCAAGTCATAATTCTTACCAATTCCATAATTATCTCACTCATATGATAAAATTCATTCATTTCTGTGAAACTTCAGAAGTGACACAAATCATTGGCTAGACAAAGGTTACAATATACCGTGGCCATGATATAACACAGGGCTGTTTTTAATTCATATAGTTTTCATTTACAGTTGCCAGGGGGGAAAATCCCCCTGACTTTTTAATTATATTATACTGATGAGGTTTGCTTTGCAATTTTTACATATTTTAAAAAGTGTACAAATCCATCTATCCGGCAGAAGTGGTAGTCTTTTGTTGTTTTTTGTTACTCGGCATTTGTATTGCTGAGAATATTGTGCAGGTTCAAAGTGTTGTTCTGTTTTTCTAGAGCTTTCTTTAGCTTTAGCTCCTCTAATTTTTTCCATAATTCTTCACGTTCCAGTTCCTTCTTTTTCTCTCTGTAGATAAATTGAAATTTTTGTAATTAGCAATCCTGACTTCAGAACCAACAGGAAGGCACTTCTGGGCTGTTCCTGGAGGGCACACTTGTTCCCCCACACCTCTTGTAAACACCCCTAGGGATGCTGGATGTGGGATGCATGCGAGTGTGGGTTTCTTTCTGCCATGCGTCTAACTGGAGTGCCTCGGCCTTTGCAGTTTGTGTGTCCTTTACACAGTATCACTGCCACTGCCACCATACTGCTGTGCTTTATGACTTGCTAAGCACCTTCACATTAATTTTCTCAAGTAAACGTCTGACACTCGCCACACAGCTTGGTGCCACACCTCCACCCACCAAACTGGTTTGTTTCTAATGTTCTCCTGTGTCTGTCCTTGTAAATCGTATCTAACCAGACATCCTAAAGGACTGGCAGGCTTAGGCAGATCCAGGTGGAACACCCCTAGTCCAGAAACCCAGAATGCTCCAAAATCTAAAACTGAGTGTCAACATGATGCTTAAAAAGTCTCAGGATTTTGTATTTCAGGTGTAGGGATGCTCAGCAATAGTTTATACAGGTATTCCAGATTTTGCATAAGGAACAACAACCAGTAGGAAATGACTTATTTCTAGTTATGTGAATATATATTTCTCAAATAGAAGTTTGTATGACCCTTGTCCTGTCTTCCTGGGCTCTTCAGGACTGCATGATGTCACTAAAGCACTGAGTCAGATACTGACTGGCGAGGCTGGCCTTCAAGGGCTACACCTTCCATTTGACACAAAGTCAAAATTAGAAATTCGTAATCAGAATAGATCAGCTTTTATAAATGCAACAGGTAAACAAATATTTATTAGAAGTAAATGCTAACTATTATCCTCAAATGGTAAGTGGGCCCTGGTACATTGGTGGTTAATCACTATGCTGAAATGGGCTGCTCTTCATTCACTACAAATATTAATTATTGCCAGCAGAATATATCAATAAATTCAGCCATAAACAAATAGCAGTATGAGTTCCTTCTTCCCAAAGCAGAACTATGCTGATGGTAAAATGCTATTCTCTGATGCTCTCCAACATAAGCATTAAGCATATGCAAAGAGCAGTTCAAATATAATGCCCACTTTGGTGGCACATGTGGGTAGAAAGCTTTCCATTAGATTGTATATATGTTGGTACCTGAAATTCCACATAAAGTGTAGATTACAATGCAGATGCTACCAAGACTGGTAATAGCCTAACCATTAGGGCAAGTAAATCATAGCATCAAATAATGCGTTGTTACCATGTTCCTGTTTAACATACTTATAAAATATTGAGGCGACTTAATTTGGAAATAAGTGGTTAGAGTCTGACTTCTTAAAATGGTCATTTTACTTCCAAAAAGAGACCTATTATATTCAGTCACATTCAGTTAATCTAAAATGTAATGCAAAATATCAAATACCTCTGTCTTTCCGCTTTGTATGAGCTAGTAAGGTCATCGAAAAGCTTGCCGTTCATTTCCATGAGGGTCTTCAGCACGTTATACACCAGTGCAACAATGGTTCTGAAATGAAGATGACCGCAGGGTTACTGCTGCTGACACACAGGAAGCATAACACTATCAGCTCTGAAATGGCCTAGCTGTTGGCTGATTCTCTTAATCCATTAGGAGTATAAAAGTTCAAGAGGGTTTCCAATTTGCTGAGGGTTACACTGCCAGTGGTGGTAGAAAGTGGCATGCTCAGATTTAGAGTCTAGCTAACAATGTTGTGGTGGTCTTGATATTCCCTAGAGCCTCCAGTCTGAGTGACAGCATTCAGAGAGCCAGTGACCATAACGTAAGGAAGGTGGGAAGCAGGGTGAGGATGTTAAAGGGAATATATGCTTTCTGAATATCACTGTGAGCCTGATCACCCTGCCTTTTCCCAGGAACACCGCTGCTAATGGAGGTGAGTGTGTATCTTGGGAGCAGATCCCGCTGCTCTGCCTTAGCACACATACTGCACCTGCTGCTGGTCTCCCCAATTCGATCTGACCATACACTGGTAGAGACTGTTGTAAGAGGTCTGTAATTTTTATTGGAAGTAAGGCCATGCATAATAAAGAATATGCTGACACATTCATTTTCAGCTTTATAGCTGTAAGTAAAATACAGGAGAGAATGAAGTCATTAGCCTTGGAATACATTGCAAAAGTGCATAGGATTCATGTATAAGAAAAATGGGGCCAACATAGAAGATACTTACGGGTTCCAGTGTTCTTTGGAAATTTTGTACAAGCTGGCAAACATAATTGGCAGAATTTTATCAATATTCTCTTCAATCAAACTAAGAATATATTCATTATTCCAGAAGTACAATGCCCTTTCTGCAACCTACAAAATATTTAGAAATGTCAAAACCAAGAGGAAAAATAGTATAAAATAACAGTGGAGTCACTGAATATACATACCTGAAAATGAGAACTGGAAACACACTTGGATATCTGCTTAAAGAGTGGCTCTTCAATTTTTTTGAACTGTGTTGGTTCAATGACATCTAAGATTTCTTCAATTTCTCCTAAAAACATCACCTAGGTTAAAAAAATTTTCTTTTAAAAAATATGGAAAATTATGAACATGAGCTATATGAATGTAAAGCTAATCCTATAACTTACACATTGGGTAAAAAAAAGGGGGGGTAAGGGAGAAAGCATCCAATAACTCCTGTCCCACACCCTTGCCTTGTCTTTGTCTAGCAGCAGCAGTATAGCCTAGCCCAAAGAAGCAAAGTTACAGCACTGGGAGTGTGAAAATCTAGTAAAATGCACTGCTTTTATAAACAAAACCCACCTCTTTCTGACTGCATGTTTTTGGCCAAAATTTCAGCAGTCCTCTGATCACCTGTCCAAAAAAAAAAAAAAGTTCAGCTTGAATTAAACAGTGCGGCAAGCTAACATTGGGATATTTTCAGCAGCGGTATCATTCTGAAGGACAATACTACGTATGTGTATGCCTAGGTTTCTAAATTTTTAAAAATATTGTTTAGTTGAGCGATGCAGGCCCATGGGGGCTTTTGATTAGGGTGGGCAGGGTAAGTTTTGGAGGAAGGTGGGTGAGACAGATGTTTTAGTTCTTTCATTTTTTTTTTCTCCTGTGTCCCCAGAGTGGGAAGGGAAGGGGAAACTGTCAAACTACATCAGTACCTGGGGATGTGGGATGGTCATTCGATGACTTGGAGATCCCCAAGTGGGGAAGAGTGTTCTGAGGGTGTTACTCGAGTGGTTTCTGATAGCCCTGAGATGTTGTCGGCTTCACTGCACCAGGGTTGGGATTCTCTTCCCTGGGTCTGTTGGGCAACCAAGTCCACCTTAGTGCATCTGTAGACCCAGACACTTACTCCTAAGCTTGGCCAGGAGAGCTGTCCAACCTGTTCTGCTCATTCTCTCACTCAGTGTCCTCTTCCTGCCTAGATGAGCGGGCTGACTCCTGTGTGCATGCTGTCCATTACACAGACTTTTATTAAGCTTTAAATTTTACAAATTAGACAAATAGGTGCATATGATGTGAACCAGACAATGTGGTAGACACTGGGAATGCACTGATGAATAAAACAGATGAAATCTGATTTTTCATGGAGTTTACATTTCAATGGCAGCTGACCAAGCAGGTAAGTAATTACAGTTTTAAACTGTTTTATTAGGTATTATTAAAAATGTTGATGACTTAGCAGGGTCAGTAAGGGGAGAAACCTTAAGGATCAGGTAATTCTTCAGTATATTAAAAACTTTGTGCTCCATTATAACTCATTCCGTAAATGTTAGGATGATTAAAAGCAAACGGCTGGTGTTACAGTGCGGGGATAAAGCCACCACCTGCAACACTGACCTTCTGTTATAGACACTGGTCGGCGCCCTGGCAGCGCTACTCCAGCTCTCTGCTGATGTGCCGGGAAAAGCAGCAGGAGGAGCCCCAAGTGTTTGGTTCCCTGCTACCCACATGGGATACCAGGAGGGGGTTCCTGGCTGTCACTCCATTTGGGGAATAAACCAGCAAATAGGAGATCAGCCTCGGTGTCTCCACCTCTTATAACTATGCCTTAAAAAAAAGTGGGGGGTGGGAGAAACCACTACAGTTGTCTCAAAAGAATTTGAATAGTCTTCATATTTCCAACTGATCGTTTTCATATAAATCTTAGTTCTAGCTAGCTAAATTTCTATTAGCAATTTTTTTACTTGAAAGGCAGCAAGATCTTCATCTGCTGGTTCATTCCTACAGTGGTGGCAGTGGCCGGAAGTGGGCCAGGAACCTCCTCAGGTCCCATCCGGGGCTGAAGCACTTGGATCTTGCGCTGCTGTGTTCCGTGGTGCATAGGCATGGAGCTGGGGGGCAGAGGCCACGCCTAGACCTGACCCAGGGCCCAGCGGGGATGCTGGTGCTGCAGACAGGGGCCCCCACGTCAGTAATTTATTGGAAACAGGCTGTAAAACAACCGAGGCCAAAAACTAACTCCTGGGTTTTCGGTAGCCTTTAGTTTAATGATTGATTGGTGTGGTCTAGGAATGAGGGAAGAACACCATTCTGGAAGCAATCCAGTAACAATGAATAATGTTGAAATACCAAAAGTGTACTCATTTATCTAGGTATAATCTTATCCCCTAAAAATCATTAAATTTTTCTCATTCTAGAAACTTTAAATGACCAGATAATATGTACCTCTGTGAAACTATTAGTAGTAATCGGGTACAAATGAGAGTCTCCTCATAACTACACATAAGGAATAAAATTTCTAAGAAATGTTTAAAATTTAGATGAAAATGACATTTTGCTGAAAGTTGTCTTAAATATTGTAGTGATATTTTTCTCATGAATTTAGTTTCAACCAAATGCTAATTTTGAATGATTCTTTACAACTTGGAGCATTTATCTGTAGATTCATAAAGGTAAGCAGTCAAAGACTGCTTTAGGAGTAAGATAGGGCTCAACAGTTAGAAAAGATGGTATTGGCTTAACATAAATGAGCAGAGATCTTAGACTCAAGTTGGTGAAAAAGTTTAAGGCAAAGATGGCCCTTTAGTTGCACAGGTACCGGTCATGGTACTAAGGTGGGATCCACCATTAGGAAATAAAGCACATCTCCATATGCTGGCCATCTTCAAGCTCATCTTCCCACTCCATCCAGTCACTTCAGTGTGTAAGTTACAAGAGTGTGAGTTCTGTCTTCCTGGCAGATGCTCTGATGCCATACTGGAGAGGTCCACATGACAAGGACAGAGGGTGGGCTCTGGCCAGCAGGCGGCTAGGGCCTCCAGTCCGATGGCATCTGAGGGACGGAGCGCTGCCAAAGCCCTGTGAACTTAGAGGCAAGCCTTTGCCAGTACTTCTCTGTGACTTTCCCTTAGGATCGCTCACAGGCCACAGTCCTGTTCCTCCCTCACTCACAGTGAGGTTCACGCTTGTTATTTTACGTTTATTTTTTTCTTGGAAAGGCAGATCTGCGTTGCACCCCAAATGGTCACAATGGCTAGAGCTGAGCTAATCTGCACCCCGGCGCCTTTTCTGGGTTTCCCACGTGGGTGCAGGGTCCCCAGGCCATAAGAGCTGAATGGAAAGTAGAGCAGCAAACAGCCAGAACACGAACCAGCACCTCTATGGTGTCCTGGCATTTGCAAGGTGAGGATTTAGTCAGTTGAGCGATCGTGCTGGGCCCATGTGCTCGTTATCAGAGCCATTAAATTTGTGATAACTTTTTACACAGTAGGAAAATAAAAAAGCCTTTGTTTACTACAAATCATTAACCAGGACACATATCCATTAGGCTTTTCTTCCTTCAGTTTTAATGGGAATCATGGATTTAGTCTGAATCTATTTTAGAAATTTTTGTGGTTTTATGTATAAATAATGAATTTTTCATTCTTCTGATGTGTTTCCAGAACAGTTCCCTGCCACTATATTCCTAAGAAAGCAACAGAGGATGGCCCAAGTACTGAGATTGCTGCACCATGTGAGAAACCCCGAGGAAGTTTCCCATCACCCCTTGGGGCACTGTGACCGCTGGGGGGCAGTGAACCAGCACATAGATCTGTCTCTCCCTTTATGTAACTCTGCCTTTCAAATCTTTGAAAAAATATTTGTTATTTAAGACACATGTTGTAGTTCAAGAGAATAATTTTCTCTCAATCCTGTTCTCTCTGAACCCCTTCTACTAACTTCACTCGAAGGTATATTTTTTGCTGTTATTTCAAAGCTACTGCAAAATACAATTCACACAGACCAATAAAACATGAGAAACACTTACTGGTTCTGTTAGTGTTGTATCTTTCTCCAGGAACTGTACAACACAGTATGCCAGCTAAAAGGTAAGGAAAAGCTTGTAAGTTTTTTAATTAAACATCTAGCCAGCAAAAATGATTATTTAACAATTTTGACAACTTTTACTATTTTAGTATATAAACTTGAAAGTAATTTCTGGTTCAAAAGACTTGTAGTGATGAGGACTGAAGCTAGCAATTTAGCTTTCCAGTGCGTATGGCCACAGTATGTATTACATGCATGATGATGCTGACACTGCTCTCTAAGCATTGATGAAGGAGAGCAAAATATCCAATCGGCACTGGCTCCAGGGTCGCATTACTCAAAGTCATAGTTAGGTCAAGGCATCTACAAAATAAACTGCTTAATTTAACATTATCTCAGCATTTCTGTTTCTCTTTGTTAATCTTTGAAACAATATTCATTTAAAAGTTTTCTGAAACTCACCTGAGCATGAAACAAAACTAATCCTTTTGCAGTATGCATAGGAATAAGAACCTTCATTAGAAATTGTTTATGTTCTGCTTTCAGTGGCAGTGCAAAGCCATTGATAATACTGGAGGGAGAAAAAGGCAGGGGCAAGGGTTAAGTAGTTACTACTTTGTTTCTAAAAGTTACACTACCCATGAATACAGAAGGAACAGTGCTGTGTGACTCTTGGTCTTCAAACCACTTAGCAGGAACAAACCTTATAGAAATTGTCTATCCTGAGTCAGTGCCATAAGGAGATCATGAGGACTGCCAACTAATGCCCCAGGAAGCGATGCTTTTCATTTTGTGTAACTTATATGGTTGCCTGCTAATGGCCTGGGAAGAGCCAGAGGATGCTCCCGGCTGTGGCCTGGCCCAGGCCTAGCCATGTGGGGAGTGACCAGTGGATGGAAGATTATCTTTTTCCCTCTTTGTAATACTGCCTTTCAAATAAATGTTCTTGAAAAATATTAATATTTTCTCAGATAGTTTCTCTTTGCTGAATGATCCACATTTTCTAAATTCTAGAAACCAAAATCACTCTCTAGATAGTAACAGGAAAACAAGTTATTTAGTGAACAATGCTATCAAAGAGTGAACTCTGAGAACAGGTTAGGAACGGTCTCAGCATCTGAGAGCTCCCGGCACTTCCCTGGCTCCCTGTAGCTTGCTTCATCCCTTCTCCAAGCACACTCCAGGTGTCTGTGCCAGTCTGGTAAGATCAGGCATCCCTGCCACAGTCCCGAAGCCTGTTCTCAACCAGATTTATACAGCAGTGCTTTCATTTGTGCCTCCTAAAAACCTGTAAGAATTCAGTTGAGAAACTATATCTTGTGCTCTAGTATAAAGTACTCTAGCCAAATGTCGATACAAAAAAAATCGTTACTTGATCTTAAAAAGCAGCAAAAAATGACCTACCTTCCTAATATTTCAAGGAGTTCAGCAACACCATTGAAATGTTCTGTTTCATATATAAACCTAAATTTAAAAATCAAAAGGTGTAATAAACATCAAGAGCCTGGCAGGTAAAGAAATCAATCCAGAGAACATTTGTAAGACGCAGCAGCACGTTTGTAGGTCAGCCCTGTAGGCTATTTTGTTCCTAATCAGTTAATTCCTGGCACTTTCACAGCAAGTATTTCCTGTGAAATCACACAGGCCTTCGCCAAAACTTCCTGTAGGTGGAGGTAACAGTATGGTTTTCAAGTGCAATACTCTATTTTACTTAACTTACAGGAAAAGATGGGTTTTCTCCAGCAAATACTTCTCAAAATAGTTCCTCTCTACTTAGAGGAAAACCCAGGAGAAAGGGCCACAGGTAGAAAAGCCGCTGCTTTTCAGAACTTCACCAACCTTCACACCACACAGCTTTGTTTCCAAGATGAGGATCCCCTCTAAGAGGGGTGTGGACAGTCAAGCAGGGGAAGCCCACCCCCCGCCCTCTGCAATGTGGGAATGCCAGCCTGAGTTTATGACTTCGTTTTCAGTGAAACAGGATGCTAGTGTGAAATCTGATTCATGACAGATTCGTAACATTTTACAACAGTGAAATGATGGTGCTATATAAATGTAATTAACTGCTGGATTATCAACTTTTACCAGCTACTGATTCAAAAAGTAGTTACATACAAATTTTTTAAACCAAAAGCTTAAAGAAGCATCTAGACAAATTCTCCTTTTTGCTATACATGAATACCACTGCTCTCGCCCACTTGGGACTGCTCATGGTTACTATCGCTCAGGTACTTGGGTTACATGTATAAATTCAGATGCAACTGATATAGAAACTAGGCTAAAAATGACAGATTCTACAGTTAAATGTGTCCTGGGGGACTGGGCCATGGTATAGTAGGCTAAGCCTCTGCCTATAGCACAGGCATACCCCGTGGATACCATTTCCACTTCCTGCTGCTGGCCTGGGAAGGCAGCAAAGGATGGCTCAAGTCCTTGGGACCCAGCACCTGCTGCGGAGACCTGGAAGAAGCTCCTGGCACACCTCCAGCCACTGTGGTCATTTGGGGAGTGAACCAGTGGGTGGTAGATCTCTAATTCTGTATTTCAAATAAAATAATCTTTCTGCATATTTTATGTAATAAACATTAATTTTTGAAATTCAATGTTGAACTTAAAAGGATGCTAGGTAGATAAGAAAAGTGCTATGAATATATAACTACTTTACCTGAGGAAAATGTTGTTGATTTGTTTTCTGATGAATGCTCTTAATCCAAGGAATTTCCCATAAATTCGATGCAGAACAGTCTTCAGAAAGTCACGTTCTCTGGGATCTTCACTATCAAAAAGCTCCAGGAGCTTTAAAAGAAATCTGAGAAATTACTTTTAAAAAATAATCGAGCTGGAACTCCACTTTATTTGAAGACTCCATGAAATCTTAAAAGTTTTAAGATTTTCTTTGGCTTTGTTCAGCAAGAATTATTTGGTAAGCCAAAAAGTGGTTTTCCTACTAATTTCATTTTTTTTTAAAGAAACAATACACAAATTATTTGTTTTGCCACATTTTGAAATACTATCCTACTTCTGACATGGCTCACAATTTTGAATATTAATATTTGAGAAAATTTTAATGCTAATAGTAAACCAAAATACCTATCATTTTTTTAGATTAAGCCATTAATTTAAAGGCTTGTAAAGAAGAAATTCCTAAAGTATATTAGATTACTAGATGATATCATTTGTATCATACAAACAAATCTACCTCTTTGTTAATTTTATGATAATAACTTCCAGAGGGTCACGTTTGGCAACGGCTTAGAAATTCATATTCAGTTTTTAGGACGAATTATTGGTAGTACTGGAAAAATTTTATTACACTTGAAGTCAGCTAGCGATTGAAAACCTATTAAAAGCAGGGGCCCATGCTGTGGTGCAGTGGTGGCCAGCATCCTATACCAGAGCCTCAGCGTCTTGGCTGCTCTGCCTTTCAGCCAGCTAATCTTGGAATGTGCCAGGTGGCAGCAGTTGGTGGCCCAGTTCCTGGGCCTCTGCCACACAGAGTGCCCAACAGAACTCCAGGCTCCTGGCTTCGAGCTTGCCCAGCCCTGGCTGTTGAAGCCATATGGGGAGTGAACCAGCAGATCTTGACTTCTTCTGTGACAATGCAGTTCAAATAAATATACATACATATTTTAACAACCCAGTCAGCATTCTGCTATAAGGCTATACAACTCTTCAGCAAAGCACGGGGTGAGACCTTAAAGTCAAGATCTAAAATTTCCATTCTAAGGTGGTAAATTTTTTTCTGTCAAAACATTACTGTCTTTAAATGAAACACTGGATTTTCTTGAAAACACAGACTATCTGAAATAAGCAGAGTTGGTACATTAGGATTGATAATCATACTGAATGGCAAGCTCTGGATCTCATCACAAGTTTTCATACTATTCTATCTTAAATTGCACATCTCAAACCCCATAGTGATGGACAACCAGTCATATCAATACGTCTTCCAAGCCAATGAGCTGCTTAGTTTTTGATCTGTATTCAACAGATTGTTAAAGCATGGCAGAGGCTCCCGCAAAAAGTATCTGTAGTATAGGAATTATATTACTATCCCTGGTAAATTCAGTTCAAATCATTGTAATTAAAAATGGCAAAATTCCACACTTAAGATACTAAAATTCAAGTCTGGATGTTCAGTTTACTTGAGAACTGGGGACAGAATTATGAAGGTCAAGGCCATCATGTCTACTTCAGGAACAAATGTATTTTTTTAAATAAATATTTATTTTATCTTTATTGGAAAGACGGATATACAAAGAGGAGAGACAGAGAGGAAGATCTTCCCACCAATGATTCACTCCCCAAGTGAGTGCAACAGCTGATGCTATGCCAATCCGAAGCCAGGAGCCTCTTCCGGGTCTCCCACGTGGGTGCAGGGTCCCAAAGCTTTGGGCCATCCTCGACTGCTTTCCCGGGCCACAGGCAGGGAGCTGGATAGGAAGCGGGGCTGCCGGGATTCGAACCGGTGCCCATATGGGATCCTGGGCGTGCAAGGCGAGGACCTTAACCACTGTGCCACCGCGCCGGGCCCAGGAACAAATGTATTTTAATACAAGTAAATCTTCAGGGGCAAAATATTAAAGAACCTTTGTCATCTACTTCAAGTCCAAAGAATTTACTTTCAAATATAAATAGATGCAGCACACAAAACCAGGAATCTGGCCCAACACAGTGGTTCAGCTGCCTAATCCTGCCCTTGCAAAGCACCAGGATACCATATGGGTGCCAATTTGTGTTCTAGCTGCTCCATTTCCCATCCAGCGCCCTGCTTGGTAATGCATGGCCTGGGAGGGCAGCGGAGGACAACCCAAAGCTTTGGCACCCTGCACCCGCGTGGGAGACTCAGAAACTCCTGTTGCCTGGTTTTGGGTCAGCTCAGCTCTGGCTGTTGCAGCCACCTGGAGTATGAACCAGGGAATGGAAAATCTGTCTGTCTCTATAAATCTGACTTTCAAGTAAAAATAAATCTATTCTGACTCTGATAGTTAAAAGCTTTTTAGGGGTACTCTACTCTCTGTACTGTATGACAAGGAAGAAGGCTAATGCCGAAACACTTAGTAATGATTCATTTCCATAAAAGACATGGCAAAATAAAAGTTCAAAACCCCAAAAACCTAAAACGAAAGTTTGACTTTTAGATTAAATGGTCATAGGTAATATTCTCAGATATTATGCAAAATTAGCTTTCCTGATCTCTATAAAATAACTGAGAATTTAGGATTGCGTAGCATAATTATAAGTTTACTCTTAATAAAAATATTCGTATTCTCAGAGCTGTCTCATTTTTCTAATTGACAAGAACATTAAATGCTGTCAAACTGAGATAAACCATTAGTTTTTGAAAGACTATCACAATTTGAATAATCCATTGCTATAATGAATATGAGAAAATTTAAGAGTTCCTTACCTGTTGTACAAATTTCTGATCAATGTATCGCTTAGCAATACTAGGCTGGAAATCAGGGCTCTCCAGAAACCTCAGGAAGAATTCATATACCAACTGCAAGAGAAAAACAAAAGCTAAGATGACACCTCTAAAATTCTACCCTGATTGCTTTATAAGCAAAGCGCACCTGCCCCCACAGCAATTTAGAAGGGAGCTTTCAGATCTCAGCCAAAGGTAAGCTGGTAAAAAAATTTTTTTAAAAATGCAATTTAAAAAACCTTTATATTAATAAAGTTTTTCTACTAAACTAGTAAACTTAAAGGTATATTTATTAGTTTGTATTACTCACTGAAAAATGTTAAATTGCAGAAGCTGAAGATGAGGTGTATAATATATTGAGACACAAAATACTCCACACACCCCTGCCAGAGGACTGCTAACCTAGCTCAAGTTAACATATATTTAAGCTTACTCTTAACCTTACCAATCGAAATAAATAAATAGATATTTTTTTAAATCCCTAGAGTTCCTTAGATAAATGTAAGGTCAGAAAACTCCAGGTAAAAGTAGTTTGCCACCAGAAATTAAAAATTTTCAATCTTCCCATAAAACTACAGTGAGAAAAATTAAAATCAGCACAATTTCCTTTCCCTTGGGCAGTGATGAATGAGCTGCTAAAGTTCACGGCACAGGAAGGAATGTGTCTGCTGCAGTGGACACAGCAGAAGGCACAGCAGGCTCACAAGCTGTGTTTCTTACACCCTAACAGCTATAAGTTACCGTCATTTATTAACTGTTAAGCAGTGTATGAATTTAGCATCCTAACATTAAAAAGGGAGGTTTAGATCCCAAAGTGAAAGCTGTCATTCAGTAACATCTAGTAACACACACAGTGCGGAGGTGAGGAGAGCAGCACAGTGAACGCACGGGCTGCAGCACAGAAAAAGCATGACGTAGGCCTGTCACTCACCGTGACTACACACTTCTACCACCATTCATTAACAGAGAGCTAACAGCAGGTGGGGATCTGAGTAAAAAATTTGCTTGATCCATTTGCCCAAAGCTTATCTAGTGTTACCTAATTTTTATGAATTAAATATTCAATGAGAAAAACAAGTTGATAAAGTTTTATTCATAGATGATATATGTATATGTATTTTAAAATATACACATATTTTTATTGGAGAGGCAGGTCAGATTTATAGAGAAGGGAAAGCCCTTCCATTTGCTGGTTCACTCCCCAACAAAGGCTAGAGCCGAGCTTGATTAGGAGCCAGTAGCTTCCTCTGGGTCTCCCACAGGGGTGCAGGGTCCAAAGGCTTTGGGCCACCTGCTATTGCTTTCCCTGGCAACAAGCAGGTGGGATGTAGAGCAGCCAGGATATGAACTGGCACCTCTATGGGTAAGGATTTAGCCACAGATCCATCATGCTGGGCCCAACGATATGTATTTTTTTTAAAAGATTTATTTTATTTTATTGGAAAGTCAGATATACAGAGAGGAGGAGAGACAGAGAGGAAAATCTTCCGTCCAACAGCCGATGCTATGCTGATCCAAAGCCAGGATCCAGGAACTTCTTCCAGGTCTCCCACATGGGTGCAGGGTCTCAAGGCTTTGGGCCATCCTCAACTGCTTTCCCAGGCCACAAGCAGGGAGTTGGATGGGAAGTGGAGCTGCCGGGATTAGAACCGTCGCCCATATGGGATCCTGGCATGTTCAAGGCAAGGACTTTAGCTGCTAGGCCACACTGCCGGGCCCACAATATGTATTTTTTAAAGTTATACTTTCTTCAAGATTTTTTAAAAAGATTTATTCATTTTTATTTAAAAGGCAGATATTACAGAAAGAGATACACAGAATCTTTCATCCGCCAGTTCACTCCCCAAATGGCCGTGATGGCCAGAGCTTAGTGACCCGAAGCCAGGCATCCATCTCCGGACTCTTCTTTGAGGTCTCCCACGTGTGTGTAAGAGCCCAAGGACTTGGCCATCCTTCACTGCCCTCCCAGGCCATAAAGCAGGGAGGTTCTTTCTGTTCTTTATGAAGGAACAATTTCCTCCAAGAATTCAAGAAACAAAATTTTAAAGAATAAATGTTTCAGCAATGGAGTAATAAGTTCACTGGTGTAAACTTTACAAATGTTTAATGTAATCCTGGGTCCCTTTATTTTGGTAAATCCCCCAAATATCCCAAAAGGTGAGTACTTGGGGCCATTTGCCTGATTCCATGGCCTGGCTATTTAAGCTTCTGCTAGCAATGCCAGTAGCCTTTAGGAGCAGCCAGTTGGAGTCCCAGCTGTACCACACTGCACTCCTGGCTAATGTGCAGCACAAGACAGCCCAGTCACCTGGGCCTGTGCCACGCAGTTGGGAGACCCAGATGGTGTCCGGGTGCCTAGTTTCATCCTAGTGCAACCTAGACTGTTGCAGGCATTTGGGAAGGAACCAGTGGATGGGAGGTCTCTGCCTTAACAAATGTGTCAATTAAAAAAAAAAAAAGATGGCTGAGAAAAGGAAGGTAGAATGATCTTACCAGGCTACTCGCTTCCGATTATGTCTTTCCTAAGGTGGTTAAAATAAAATAGGGGCTGGCACGGTGGTCTAACAGGCAAATCCTCCACCTGTGGCTCTGGCATCCCATATGGGTTCATATCCTGGCTTCTCCACTCCCAATTCACCTCCCTGCTTATGGTCCTACCCAACATGGAAGACCTGGAAGAAGTTCCTGGTTTCCGATCAGCCCAGCCCTGGCCATTGCAGCCATTTGGGGAGTGAACCAGCAAATGGAAGATCTTTCTGTCTCTCTTTCTCTCTGTAAATCTGTCTTTCCAATGAAGATAAATCTTTTTTGAAAAATAAAACATAGAATCTGTAAAATTCTGGTGTTCATCACTAAAATCTTTAAGAGAAGGTTCTGCAAGTATTAGAAATAAGATCTGTAAGGAAAAGGACTTGAAACGTTTGGCCAAGAGACACAACTTTAGTTGTCTACAAGTAAATAAAGGGCACCTTTCAGGGAACATGCATTAACCAGTATCAATTAAAAGTAAAATAATGTGCCCAGCAAGATGGCTCAGTGGCTAAATCCTTGCCTTGCACATGCCAGGATCCCATATGTGTGTCGGTTTGTGTCCCACTGCATCACTTCCCATCTAGTTCTCTGCTTGTGGCCTGGGAGAGCAGTAGAGGATGGCCCAGTGCCTTGGGAACCCACACCCACATGGGAGACCTGGAGGAAGCTCCCAGCTCCTGGCCCTCTAGCAGCTCAGCTCTGGCCATTGTGGCCACATGGGGAGTGAACCAGTGGATGGAAGATTTTTTCTGTCTTTTCCTCTCTGTGAATCTGCCTTTCCAATAAAAATAAATGAATCTTTTTTTTAAAGTAAAATGTTTTAAAAATTGACTTACTCTATTAAATTGATGAGGATTAACACACACTGAACTATGTGAGTTATATATTAAATGCCAGCATTACCTGGAATATGATAAACACTAAAGATTTTATTTACTTAAGAATCTGAAATAGACAAACAAAAATAATCTTTTTTTCCCCCCATAAATAATAATGTGAAAAAAGGACAGGTTTTTCATGTGCCTTGAAATGTTAAGTGCAGGGTTTGCTCTCTCAGCTCTCTGCCCCATTAGAAAGTAAAGAATAGCAACAAATTACTGCCTTAAACTGCTGCATGCAAAAATGGCATCCCATATTAGATAGCCAGTTAGAGTCCAGCCTGCTCCGCCTTTGTTCCGGCTCCCTGCTGAAGTATCTAGGAAAGCAGTGGAAGATGGTCTAAATACTCGAGTCTCTGCCACTTGTCCAGATGGAGTTTCGGGCTCCTGGCTTTGGCCTGGATCAAATTTGGGTGGTGGTGTCATTTGGGCAGTGAACCCACTGACAGGAGCACTGCCTTTCAAATAAGTAAGTCTTTAAAGAAATGATAACTACTTACAACCTAGAAAGTCAAAGCATAATATAAACACTCTCTACCTGAAGACAAAAGTTAGAGTACTACGGGGACAGCATAGCGAGTAAAGCTGCCACCTGTGATGGCAGCTGCCTGGATGAGCACCTGTTTATGTTCCAGCTGCATTACTTCCAATACACCTCCCTGCTTGTGTTCTGGGAAATGCAGCAAAAGATGTCCCAAGTGTTTGGGACCCTGTCACCCACGTGGGAGATCCAGCTGCAGTTCCCGGCTTGGGCCTGGCCTGGCTCAGCCCTGGCAACTGCAGCCATCTGGGAATCAAACCAGAGGATGGAAGATCTCTCTAGGTCCTTCCACCCTCTAACTTTCAAATAAATCAATCAATCAATCTTCGGATTGGCTCAGCTTCAGCTGTTGTGGTCATTTGGGAAATGAACCAGCAGATGGAAGATCTTTCTCTGTCTTTCCTTCTCTCTGTAAACCTGCCTTTCTAATAAAAATACATAAATCTCTTAAAAAGTGTATTAGGCTGCAATCCTTATTATTCTGGAGTCTTAACACATGGAAATAGTCAAAATTAAAGTATCTATCCAAGAATTATTAGAATATAAAGGTGCATACTGTAAATATTTATGCCGCTAGTCTGAAATTTTAATTATATAGAATATATGAGACCCAGAGAAAAGCCTCCTTATTAAAAAAAATACATGCTATTACTATTAAAAAAATCTATGGTCTAGTCAGTATATCATATTATTAAACCATAATTATATGTGTCACTAAAGTAATTAATAAAAATTAAAATACTACATAATCTATTTCAGAATAGTATAGCAGCCAACTATCCTACTTATCTGAAAGCAAGTATACAGAAAATTTACTTTTGGTTCTCAATAAATAGCAGTAATAGGAAAGAAAATAATAAACTTATATGGTAATAATTAAATGAAAACATATAACCAATAACCTAGTACTAAAATGACCTTTGTTTTGTTCCTTCCATTTCTCTCCATTGCTCATTAATATTCTGTTACAGTGAATGAAGATATTATAACTTTTATGTTTCTCTTCTACAAAGCAACCACAGAAAGTAATACTTATAAAATTGTGTGGTAGACACAAATGTATAAAGATGAACCCTGTATGACAATAATACCAAGAAGAAAGGGGAGTGGCTAGAAGCAACTAAACCAGTTTTGTGCGCTATTGAAATTAGAATTAAACCACACTACATTGTTTTAAAATGCTAACTGTAATCCCCAGGGCAACCACAAAGGAAATAATTTTAAAACATATAGAAACAAGGGATTTTAAATGGCACTTTAGAAAATATCTACTCAGCACAAAAAGATGAGAGTAATGACCAAGCAGAGGAACAAAAGAAGACATAATAAAATTATGGAAAATTAAAATTAGGGAAAATTAAATCATACCTAATCAGTAATGACATTAAAATGTAAATGAACTAAAACTCCTATTTGGAAGACACAGACTTTCAAAACTGTTTAAAAAAACTGTTAAATGATTCAACTAGATGCTATTTAAAAGACATACCACAGACTCAAAGAGACAAAGAGATTAAAAGTCAAAAGATGGAAAAAAAATATATCACTGAGAGAGCTAGAATGGCCACACTAATATCATATGAAATAAACTCAACACACAATTGTTACTAGACAAAGGGACATGCTGCAGTGGTGGAAATCAGGTAGCAGGAAGATGTACCTGCTATCAACACAGATGGGCCCCAAAATAACTGAAGAACTTACAGAACTGAAAAGAGAAATAGGCCGTTCTATGTGATATTATCTCACATTCTATGATGATATTATCGTACATTCAACAGACAGAAGATCAACAAGGAAAGTAGAAGAACCCTATCAACCAAATCGATCTAATGGCCTTCAACAGCACAGTCCAACAACAAGGCATTTTTCACAAGCATACATGAGACATTCTCTGGGACAGGCTGGACACTGGGCATGGTCTCGTCTCAATACAAAGACTGAAATCGTACCAACCATGTCCTCTGAACACAATACAACATCAGAAATCAGCTAGACAGGGAAATCTGGGAAAGTCCCAAGTACCCGACCGTCACATTTCCAAGTAACTAATGATCACATACAGCCAGAGAACATTGTGAGGTAAATGATAAAAGTAAATTTTGTGTGAAACAAGTATTCAAATACAAACTTGTACATGGGAGCTTCATGCTGTGACACAGCAGGTGAGGCTGCCACCTGCAGTGCAGGTGTCCCATATGGATTCCAGGTCAAGTCCTGGCTGTTCTGTTAGCGCGCCTGGGAAAGCAGTGGATGTCAAGTACTTTAACCCCTGGAGACCTGGATGAAGCTCGGGGCTCCTGGCTTTGACCTTGCCCAGCCCTGGCTGTCGTGGTCATCTGAGCAGTGAACCATCAGATGGAAGATCTCTGTCTCTAACTCTGCCTTTCAAGCAATCTTTGAAAAAAAAAAAAAAAACAGTAAAGAAAACACTCTTGCACATCAATGTCATTAACAAGTTCTAGTTACAAGAGCGAAAAATGTCCATCAACCAATGAACAAATAAACATGACATATTCCCACAATGGAATAGTATTCAGCCTTGAAAAAGAATGAAGTACTGCTAAGTGCTACCACATTGATGAACCCTGAAAACATGATTTCAATTATATTCAACATTGAAACAGGCAAACTTACATATAAAGCAGATTAGTAGTTGCAGGGGCTACGAAGACGAATGCATGGGGATTAACTGCTAAATGACAAGTAGGTTTTGACAAAATTCTGGATCTAGATAGTGGTGTTGCTTGTACCACTTAAATGTACAATTAAAACAATTTGGTAAATTTTTTTAATCACATAAAAAAAAAACAGTACTTAGGGAAAGGAAACAATGCTAAGAAAACAAAAGCCAAATATTTTAAATACTAAGCTTTTAAAGAGAAAATAATGACTTTATCAGAAATAACACGAAAGGTCATAACGTGATGAGTTATGTCCGTACTCGTATGTGAGGCCAGGAGGCTTCAAGCGTGGGTTCATCCTCTTCTGGATCGAAATCCGGGTTGTCACTTGGAGGGAGCGTACGAAAGATGTTAGCACTGATCTGTAAAGAAAAAATAAATTCAGATTTATCCTGTTGCATAGTCAAGTTTAACAATGCAGAACTAAAAAATTTTTAAATCACTTTATTTAACTAAAAAGTTAAGTGGTGTTAGTAAGCTTCATTCAAAATCCAGGAACCTCTTCCGGGTGTGAGAAGGCAGATGGTTGCTCCCTCTTCTCTGGTAACTGATATCCTCAGACCCCAGACTCGAGATGACAGGCTAACCCTGGATTTTCTCCCTCAAATTACAAGTCATCCTTTCCACGTTTTGCTTAAAATAAAGTGGGAAGAGATTGGGAAGAAGAGTGAATTTGGAGAATAAGAGTGAAGTTACTGTCTCCAACTTGACTGCTTTGTCTTTCTACAACCTCACACATTCAAGCTCAGGTCACAGACTACACTTGCCTAATACTTTAAAGTTTGATAAACATGTTTCCATAAATATGTATAGTTCTCCATATATTTATGTATGTATATAATGATATTTCAAAAGTGTAAAATGGGATTGAAAGTTTATTTTGGTGCAAAAAATTTTGAAATCTATACATATTTGATAGTCTTCAAAAAGTTCAAAAGAAAATATATGCTATAAAAAAGGAGGCATGGGCCTGGCACAGTAGCCTAGCTGCTAAAGTCCTTGCCTTGCATGCACCAGGATCCCATAAGGGCACTAGTCCTAATCCCGGCTGCCCTGCTTCCTATCCAGCTCCCTGCTTATGGCCTGGGAAAACAGTTGAGGAAGGCTCAAGGTCTTGGGACCCTGCACCCATGTGGGAGACCCAGAGGAGGCTCCTGGCTCCTGGCTCCTGGCTTTAGATCAGCTCAGCCCTGGCCCTTGCAGCCACATGGGGACTGGACCAAGGGATGGAAAATCTTCCTCTCTTTCTCTTCTCTCTGTATATCTGACTTTCCAATTAAATAAAAATAAATCTTTTAAAAAAGTGGCATTTCAGAAAATTTTTTACATCAAATTTAGCTTTTAATTCTGTTTTTCCATTACATTTTTGAAGTTCCGTATATATGCCACATCAAGGCACAGGAGGGAAGGGACACAATGCCTGCACAGTTGTCACCGGCATAAACCTCACGAGGCCGTAACTTACTGCTTCATCTACTCTGGGACTTTAAAAAAACATATGAACCTCTCAAACCCGGAGCATTTTATTTTATACTCAATAAAATATATCTTATACTCTTAGCCTTCACATTATCTATCTCAGAATGCAGGTTTTCTTTAGCAATTGATATTCTGTGCCTACAACCCAAATTCTTGCTAAGAGTGTTGAACAGACTGACAGAACTAGCAGGCTTAATAAACCTGTAAGATCAAACTATTGTGGGATTAAGATAAAATTCTCAGAGGACAGAGGGAAAGACGAGTGACACCTGATGTTGACACATGACAGATTCCCCGCTACTTTAATGAAATGGCAACCAGCTAACAGTAACTTACTACAACAGACTCAGCTGGCAAGAAGCCAGAATCCAACCAGCCGGAACTCAAAGCCAGTGCTCGAGAAATGCCAATCGAGCTTGGCAGGACATCAATTTGAGAGAGCAAAAAGCCAGAGAAAGAATTTGAAAGAGGAAATAAGTGTCCTAACAAAGCATAATTTGCCCTTGACAGCATACTTATAATTGTCAGTAGTGAAAGACAAAAGTTGACTTTGTTGTCAAATAAGAGTAACTGCACGGGACAAATATTCAGAGAGCTTCAAGGACTGAGTGAGACAGGTAGGCTCTCACTTAAAAACGGAGTACATGTGTGCAACACATACACTTTGGTTTCAGAATTTATATATAGATGGCCAGGCTGGGCCATCCCATGCTCGGAGCCCCAATTCCAGCCACCGCGTACACATGGTGAGCTGTCCCTGGGGGGCCAGAGCACCATCTGGCACCTGGCTCTGCCTGTTGGCCGCCCAGCGGGGAGCTCTGGGGTTTTGGGGTTTTGAATTGCTGCTTAGGAAGCTCTCCATGTTGAACCCACTGTGCTTCTGGGATGTGACTCAATCCTAAAATTCCCAATGACAGAGTAACATTTCCTTTGAAGGGAAGTAAGGGTAATGAGACCTGGTAGGTTGGAGGGGAGGGACCAGATCATACTTATGGATAAAACTGCTACACCAAACTCCTTCAAATCCTGTGTAGAACTTGTAATCACTGAACAGTGCTGACCACCGAATACCAATCCATGCAAAAGCTAAGGCTCAGCGCTTGTCTAGCAGGCTCATATCCTATTACTTGACATGATGATGGATCAGGAGACGGGTCACATTAGGCAGGGCCATGACATTAACTAGCACACGAGAGAACCATATCCGGGGGGTAGATTATTCGGGGGGATATGTGGGCCAAAACCTGTGGAAATACTAGCCCCAGTGGCTAGCTCAAGAGTTGGGGTGGTGATGGACTAAGCTAGGTGTGACCAAGAAGCATGCCATCACTCATGGGCAAAGGAACCGACAACAGTCTGGGCTGGTCAAGGCCACAGCACCCAAATGTGCATCCTAAACAGGGTGTGGGGTAGGCTGGGCTACAATGTTCACCAGCTCATACAAGGCCAAATGGAAGGCTAGACTATTCCAGGCACTGGCCTAAAACCTAATGGCATGTATGAGAACTGGGTCAGGGAATGGGTTGAGCGGAGGAATTTGGGAAACTCCCCTGGTGGGTCATAGCTCCTGCTGGTAAACACATGGTCCAGACCTGGGAGTCGGACAAGCTGGGCAAAGTAGCTCCAATGGCTGGCTAATGTATGGGTTGGTAATGGAACGGGGTGGACCAGGCAAGGCCGAGCAAACCTTAGCTCTCCAGCAAAATTAAAAATCAGGATGGAGCACAGATCATGCTGAGCTAGGCTCTTACACCTACTGGTCTGCATGAGCCAGGGAATGCTAAGCCACAGCATCTAAGGCTAGAGCCGGAACAGGTGAGGGGCTGTGCCAAGATGAGTCAGAGCAACCACTGGCATGCACACAATATATGGTTAGGAACAGACCCGGTAGGGGAGCTAAGGGGACACCCAGGGTGGAGATTCCCGCCAGGGAGCACATGGGCTGGATTGGGGGGCTGTGTTCTGATCAGGATAAGGTTGTAGTCTCCCTTGGCACAAGTGTGGACTGGGACTGGATGCACCAAGCCAGGCTACACTCCAGCACCATCTTGTGCTCTAGAGGAGCAGGGTAGATATGGGATGGACTAGGCTAGGTCTCAGCCCCTACTGAGCCAAGTGTGAGCTGTATATGGGTATGGACAAGCTGTGGCTGGGCTGAAACATCCAACAGTAAGAACCTGAATGGGTTGAAGGTCAGTTAGGAAAGGCCACTGTTCCTGCTAGGACAGGAGGTGAACGAAGTAGGGCTGGCTCATGGACCTGCTGGTATACGCGAAATCTGGCACTGGGAGAGGTTCTGATGGAGGAGCCTGGGAAACTCCTCCAGTAGGACACAGTCCCTGCAGTAAGTGCAAGAAGCATGATAGGAAACAGCCCAGAACAGGTCATGGAAAATTTCCCACTGGCATACATTTGGCATGGGTCGGGGGCAGACCAGGCTGAATCAGTTCACGTCATCCACTGGCAAATCCAAGCACCAGAACAGAGTGTGGGTCGAGCCAGGTTTGGTCACGACAGAAACCAGTGCACATTACGGAATGCCAAGGTGAGGCTGCCTGTACGGGATGTGACTGCAGCACCCAACAGCACACGTGAGAACCAGGAGGGAGGGGGCAGAGCCAGCAGGAGGAATAAAGGAGGGTCCCCTTGCCAGACAGCTACTCCCACTGGAGAGCATGGGCTGGGATGGGGGCAGACCAGACTAGGCAGGGCTACAACACCTGTGCACCTCAGGTGGACTAGATCAGGGAAAAGCCAGGCTGAGCTGATCATTCCTACTGGTGCAAGCTAAATTAGAGTGGGTGAGGGTTGTTTGGGCTTAGCCACAGCATCAGCTGGCAGAAGCTGGCTTTGGGGGTTAATTCTGTCAAGTTAAACTGCAGAACTACCTGGAGAGTGCATAATCTGGGAGTGGGAGTGGCCTAGAAGGGAAATGGTCGGCTCCTCCCTTTTGGGTTATCACTTCCACTGGAGGGCACAAAAACCAGGACAGGGGCAGGAGTAGCTAGACAGAAGGGCACCCAACAGCATCCGTGAGGGCTGGATAGTGGAGCTGGTTGGGTTGAACGAGGCTTCAATGTCCAGTGACATGTATGGGATGTGGGACAGACTGGACCAGTCTGCTGCAAATACTGGCAAGCATGGGAACCAGCATAGGGGGTGGGCCTGGTGGGGGTTATTGTGGGTCGCTCCGACTAGGCTGCAGCTCCCACTGGTTTATGTGAAGGTCGAGTGTGTGCTGGGCAGAATCAGGCTGGACTGCAACACCCATTGGTTCCAGTGGAGGACAGGGCTGGAAATAGAACTGACCCAGCAACTGTAACCACCAGCTGATTGCATGATGGACTGTACTGGGCCCTGTACTTGCCAGTACACACAAGAACCTGGTCTGGGTTCACCTCAAAGTTCCTTTAGAGATCCCCTCAATCGAATTGCTGGACTCACATCCCCAACCATGAAAAGACAGAGGACAGAACAAATCAATCAACTACCCCAGCTACATGTTGGCAGTGAAAAACTGGGCAAACGGAGGCTCTAAGATGGACTATGTAAACCAGTGGATTCTGCAGCGATTTCTTCAATTTCTTCGTGTTTGGAATGGCAAGAATGGCAGCAATTCACAACTGTTGAACTATCAAAACCACTTGAGCAAGACCCTTGGGGCATGCCCCACATCTGGGACCTAGGATGGGTGGGAGACTGAGTGGGGCTTCTCCCTTTACCTCCCTTTCTTCCCCAGATGTAGAAAAAAAAATGTGTGGAAATGATAATCTTACCCATTTTCTATAGCCCTTGAACCTTTATGCCCTAATTAACTATGTAAAGACTGGGCCCGGTGCGGTGGCGCAAGTGATTAAAGGTCCTCGCCTTGCACGCCCGGGATCCCATATGGGCGCTGGTTCTATCCTGGCCACCCCGCTTCCCTTCCAGCTCCCTGCCTGTGGCCCGGGAAAGCAGTCGAGGACGGCCCAAAGCCTTGGGACCCTGCACCTGCGTGGGAGACCCAGAAGAGGCTCCTGGCTTTGGATTGGCATAGCATCGGCCATTGTGCTCACTTGGGGAGTGAATCATTGGACAGAAGATCTTCCTCTCTGTCTCTCCTCTCTGTATATCTGCCTTTCCAATAAAAACATAATAATAAAAAAAACTATGTAAAGATTGTAAAAAATATATTAAAAAAAATGATATATAAGCAAATTCTACCCCAGGATTTTCATAACTCCTGAACACGGGGACGGCATTGGCCTGGTGGCTAGGCCGCTTCCTGGGAACCCACTTCCTGTATGAAGAACCTGGGTCTGAGTCTCAGTCTCACTTCCGATTGCAGCCTTCTGCTTCGGGCATGGCAGCAGGTAATGGCTCCCAGCATTTCAAATTGGCAACAATGTGAAATAATGTCCTTTCTCTGAATTTTTAAAATGATGCAGCAAAACAAAACTCAAAAACAAGAGGCTTATAAAAAAAACACAAGAAGTTGATCAAAGCGCAGCATCAAGAGCAGGCGCGGTGGTGCCACAGTCCAGCTGTCACTTCGGACATTCACAGCCCACAGTAAATGGCAGGTTTCAAGCTCTGCCTTCTCACGGCTCATCCAGCTTTTCCATGTACCTGGGATGCAGCAAACTGAGGGAACAAACTGGGTTCCTGACACCTCTGTGGGAAACCAGGATAGGCTGTCTGGCTCTCTGGCTGTCCTGTCATTTGGGGAGTGAACCAAGTCTTTTTTTCTTTCTCCCTGTCATTCCGCCTTTCAAATACATAAGTGAATCTTTAAAAAATAAAACAAAACCCCAGTATTTAGATTTCAAACTGTTACTTCCTTTTTACTGTCTAGGAGTTTATGAAGCTAACTTCATTTTGGTTCATTTTATCTCTATAGATAACCTTTAAAATTTTTTCAGCCTTTTTAAAAAGAAAGAATTATTTATTTTTATCTAAAGGCAAATTATTACATAGAGAGAAGAGACGGAGAGACAGTCTTCCATTCTTTGGTTCACTTCCAGAGCTGAGCTGCTCCCCAGCAGGGAGTCAGGAGCCTCTTCAGGCCTCCCACAGGGATGTTGGGCCCAAGGTCCAGGCTATCCTCTGTTGCTTTCCCAGGCCACAAGCAGAAAGCTGGATAGGAAACAGAGCAGCCAGGATACGAACTGGCGCCCCTACAGGATGCCAGCGCTGGCAGGCCGAGTATTAGCTTGCGCCACGTCAGCCTGCAGGTGTGTTTATTTCTATTTTCAAAAACATACACAAAATTCCTTAAGTCCTTGTGATAATTCTTCAAGTGCAGTGAGATCAAAGAAAACCCAACCAGTGTATCAGGGCCAAGTTTATCTTTGCTCCTACCCATTTTGCTCTTTCCTCAGAACACACACAAGGCTAGGGGAAAGAAACGAAGGAAGCTAGATTACACTTTGTATTTGCTTCCACATACTAGTATAGGTTAAGATAATGTACTCAGTCCATGCGAATTTCTGCATTCTGTCAGTATGCAATAAAGTCTGGGTTGCTAAACAAATTTCCACTGTATGATGGAGAATTACATTCTACAGCATCCTGAATAACCTTATTTCAACAATGTTGAAAGTAATTAATTTTTTACACCAGATACTCTAAATAGATATTTCACAGTTTGAATATCCCTTACACAAACTGCTTGGGAACAGAAGTGTTTCAGGTGCAGGGTTATTTTTAGATATTTTAGAATATTTGCACATAAATAACAAAGTATCACATAAGATTGTTTCACACGCACCTAATACGTATAACCAGAAGGTAATTTTCTACAATATTTTCAGGGTGCCTGCATTTGGATTGTGATCCGCTTAGCAGGCCAAATTTGAAACATTCCACTGTATTGTCCTAACAATATTTTAAAAGTTCCGAATGTTCAAAACATTTCAGTTTGGATTTCAGATTAGGGAAACTCTACCTGCATTATGTGACTTCTTAAAGGTTCTGAGCCTTCACAGTTCACAACACGACATTAAATGTCCGAAGTAGGAACTTTAAAAACCTGACTCCCTCCCTTAACTTCTTCAGAGATTTTCCTTGAGCTTCAATTTCCCCTTTACAAATTCTCTCGGTGACTCCTGGCTCCCATGACATTAACTACCCATCTACACATCCTTCCCCTGAGCTCCAGCTCCGCTCTCTCCACAGTCACCACTAGCCACTGCTACACAACGACGGCACCAGTGGCATGGATAGAAAAGCCTTCACATGGGCTATTGGACACACGGTTTATTTACGGTATGTTAATTATTACCGATTCATAGCTACACCTCAAGCACTACTTCATTTTGTTTGAGAAACATAAATCCAGAAGCTTACCATTTTTACTATAGCAGAATAGGCTGATTCAACAAGCACACCACGATTAGTTGAAACGTACTCAACCAGTTCGTTCAGTGTTGCTCTTTTAATCTCTTTGCTCCTCAAGTCTGAAACAGAGTCCATGAAATCAAACAGCACGCAACACTGCTGCAGCTTCTGACAGAAAAGCTCCTGCTGTTCATTCGAGGTGGCATCTAGAAACAGAAATAAAGAAAACCTCAGAAACAAACTCACAGCTTACCTGGTGTCAGGAACTTTGGTGAGTTATTTACACACACACAAATAAATTCTATCTCAAAAGTCTAGTGACAAATGTACCCACCTAATTCTGTCTAAAATAGTTCGTTACGTGGAATCCATCTACCTGTCATTTCACTGCCCTAATCACTCCTAATTGTTATAATTGTCCCTCTGGTTAGCCCCATGACCATGGTCACTTCTGATTTATTCCATCCTTTAAACTATTTAAAAGACTAAAATCTTGTTAAAATGAGAATAAATGTGATAATATTAAGAATTTTTCAATGATCCTTCAATAATTAGACAATGAAGTTCAAATTCCTCTGAAATGTATATAAATCCCAGCTGCCTCGTGTCAAAGTGTTCCCAGTTCACTCTGGCAGGCTCCTCACTCTGGTTAAGTTCTATTCCCTGCAGTGCCCAGCGCAACGGCTCAATGGCTAAATCCTTGCCCTGCAAGCACAGGGATCTCATATGGGCACCATGCGTGTCCCAGGTGCTCCACTTCCCATCCAGCTCCCTGCCTGTGGCCTGGGAAAGCAGAAGAGGACGGCCCAAAGCCTTGGGACCCTGCACTCGCATGGGAGATGTGGAAGAACCTGGCTTTGGATCTGCTCAGCTCTGGCTGTTATAGCCATTTAGGAAGTGATATTTAGTTCACAATCTGCTCATAAACTATTCCTTCATTTAAACCAGTACCTAACTTTAAACTTTTACTTTAAAAACATTCATTTGAAAGGCAGTTAGAAACAAAGACAAGGAGAGAAGGAGAAGAGTGAGAGGGAAGAAGGGAGGAGGGAAGGGATATATAGAGGGAAATCTATTTGACAGTTCATACCCCACATGGCTGCAATCGCTGGGGCTGGGTGGATTTGAAGCCAGGAGCTTAATTCAGGTCTCCCATGTGGGTGCAGGGACCCAAGGACTTGGCCATCCTCTGCTCTTTTCCCAGGCGCATTAGCAGGGAGCCAGATAGAAAGTACAGCAGCCAGGACTCATGCACATATGGGATGCAGGTATTGCAGGCAGCATGCTCACCCGTTATACCACAACTCTCCAGTACAGGTGAAAGTCTACAGAAGCACGTTAACCCACTCAACGATGCATGTGCTTGTAAACCTCTGGGAACGGGAAGCTACTAAGATTACTGTGCACTTACATGTAACTTGCTGCCCTGAAAAAGTTGATTTAGGTTTTCAGCATGAAGTGGTGTTAGATTTTGTCAAAAGCAAAAAAAAGCTGGTAAGGTATTCCTAAAATTCAGTGATACGAATATTCTAAGCCCCCTACACAAAGTCAGAAGATAAACACAGCCTATTTTTCACTGGCTAATCTTACCCACTGATAATTTACAACATAAGTTTCATAATAAGACAAATATGGATATATTGTAAAGGAAAGTAAAATTCATATGCTGTCTGAAATAAAAGCATGAAGACTCCAAGTAAGTTATTATTTGTGGTTATACAGTAAAAACTTTTAGTAAGATACCTCCACTCTACCACAAACTTTTACAGCATTCTATCCTAGATTCAGTGATAGTTTCTGGTACACAAAGGCTGAGGTTTACAATCCAAGGCTGATATTCAGAATCCTCATAACATTGACAGATATATGAAATGACTGGCTATGGTTCTGGTTAAGTTTTGGAATCAGGGTCACTTGTTATGAAACCACTCCAAAGTGGGGACATTTTGATATATCCTTTGCAGTTTTTTAAAAATTTATTTTTATTTGAAAGACAGAGTTAAAAATGAGAGAGGAGAAACAGAGAGTCATCTCTTATCTGCTCTGTAATAGCCAGAGCTGGGCCGGTCTGAGGCTGGAAGCTTCTTCCTGATCTGCAACATGGGTTCAGGGACCCAAGTACTTGAGCCATCCTCTGCTGCTTTCTTAGGCATATAAGCAGGGAACTGGGTCAGAAATGCAGCAGCCAGAGGCCAGTGTGATGGCTCAACTAGCTAATCCTCCACCTGCAACCTCCAGTATCCCATATGGGTAGCATTTCATGTCCCAGTTGCTCCACTTCCCATCCTGCTCTCTGATTATGGTCTGGGAAAACAGCAGAGAACGGCTCAGGTCCTTGGACCCCTGCACCTATGTGGAAGATCTGGAAAATGTTCCTGGCTTTGGACTGGCTCAGCTCTGACTGTTGTGGCCACCTGGGGAATGAATCAGTAGATGGAAGATCTCTTTGTCTCTCCTTCTCTATGAAAATCTGCTTTTTCCAACAACAACAACAAAAAATCTTTAAAAAGAAGACAACAACAACGATGTGGTGCCCAGATTTCTACCAAATTTAAAGCTAAAATGGTTATATGCATTTAATTTCAAGTAACACTGGCACTGGTTGATTTCAATCAATAGCTAAAAGTCTGCTTACTATTGATACTGAGTTTGAAAAACAAAACTTACAAGAAGTATGCTTTTACTTTTTGCAAGCAAACTGTATAAAGCCAAAAAATACAAACTGAGTATGTATTTTCGACTCGTGAAACGGAGATGCTCAGGCTGCAAGGGTGCTGCTCAGTACCTGCTCAGTTCCTGCTCAGTAGCGTGCTCCTGCAGTTCTCCTGCTTGCTCAGTAATATTCTTAACTCTAAATACTTCTATACCCATAGTTTCTAGCTTCATTTAATATTTACTGTAATAGACAATATACCTATTGTATTTTTAAAATTAATATAATTGGCCCGGCGCGGTGGCGCAAGTGGTTAAAGGTCCTCGCCTTGCACCCCCGGGATCCCATATGGGCACCGGTTCTAATCCCGGCAGCCCCGCTTCCCTTCCAGCTCCCTGCCTGTGGCCTGGGAAAGCAGTCGAGGACGGCCCAAAGCTTTGGGACCCTGCACCCACGTGGGAGACCCGGAAGAGGCTCCTGGTTTCGGATCGGCATAGCATCGGCCTGTTGCGCTCACTTGGGGAGTGAATCATCGGCTGGAAGATCTTCCTCTCTGTCTCTCCTCTCTGTATATCTGCCTTTCCAATAAAAAATAATAAAAATAAATCTTTTAAAAAAAATTAATATAATTCCTGAATAATGGCAATTTTGGGTGTGGGGGGAACTCAGTGTTAATAGAGCTTTAAAATTGTTTAACTTTTTTCCCCGACATTATGCTAAAGGTAATATGAACTCGCACAGTATCCCACTTTAATATGTGACCACCTTTATGGCCTGTTGCATTCTCTCCTTCCTCCACTTCAGCTGTCATGGGAAAGCAGTTCTCTTGCTGTTCTCTAAAGGTGATGTCTTTGTTTCAAATCCTTTCCCTACCTGAAGAACCTTAAGAGATTTCCTTTTTCATGTTTTCAAATCCAACACATCCTTTAAAAAGTTAATTTTCACTTTTTCCGTAAAATGTCTGTGGGTAATCAGGATATAATAATCTTTCCTTTTCTGCAAACACAGTACTGCTCAAAACCTCAATTATATAGTCACATATATGTTACTTATAGAGTTACATTAAACAAATGCTTTTTTAAAAACTACCAAAACGTTTCAGGCTTAGGATAACTGAAAAAGATTTCAGGGGCCAGGATAATTCATTAGCAAGTTTTCCTTTTTACTTCCTTTATACTTAGCCTAAGATATACAAGGGGTTGACAAAAATTGGTCTGAAAAATTAAAAAAAAAAAAAGCTCTGATTTTGAAGATTAAAAATCATACACTACAAACCAGGTCATTAATGAACAAGACATTCAAATAGTCAAGCATAACGGCTATGTCTAAGAACTGGTATAATGATCATTTTTATCAATAACTTGAGAAGATGATTGTGATCAGCAAATGCATAGATTTCAAAATGGAATAAAAGTGGGAGGCATTTTTTCCCTTTCGTCACAGGCTAGTAACCTGAGGCTAATATGACTGAAGGCACAAATGGATTTTGGGGATTGGCAAATGACAGAGTGCTGAGCTCGGGAGCAGGGGATCCGGTGAGGCTTGGGTCACTTGGTGGGGGATTTGGAGAAGCCTGGGTTGCTCGGCTCGGGCCCTTGGGCCCTCCGGTCTGGGGTAGCTGGGTTTGTGAGCCCCAGGAGTGGGGGATCCAGCGCGGCTCAGGTCACCTGGCCTGAGTCCTTGGGCTCACTTGCAAGAACATGCTCTCAGTGAAACAGGTGGAGCGTTAGACACAAACCCTGATGCAAAAGGAGAATATGGCAGCTCACTGGGCACCACAGCAGCAGGAGAACAGAACAAACTGAACAACTACCCCAGTCAAACGATGACAGGAAAAAACCTGGGTGAATGGAGACTTGAGGTTGACTGTGTCAGCCAGTGGACATTGGGAGAGCTGCATCATGCTTGGATCGGTAAAATCAACAGCATTTCAGAACTATCCAAACTGCCTGGCCAGAACCCTCAGAACACACACACATCGGGACCCTGGGTTGACATCAGGCGGTGGTTCCTATCCCTGGGTACTTGGAACGTTTGGAAAGTCATGTGTGGCTTCCCCCTTTATCTCTCTGCTTCTCCCAGATACAAGAAGAAATAGCAAATTTGGAAACAGTGAGTTCATCCAATTTTTCCTAAACCTTGATCCTTCCCAACCTGCTCAACCATGTAATCATTATAAAAAAAATTATTAAAAAAAAACACACAAAGAAAAAAAAGAACATATTAAATAAAACAAGTTTCTTCTGGACATCTATAATTCTCGGGTCTTCTCCAGAAACAACGCATCCTACGTTTCATTCACACTGACACACTTCCATGGATGGCCTATGTGCTTACGCACTGATGGCAATGCACTCTCATTCACATTTTTCATTTTCCTCAGAAACAAATAATGGCAGTGCCCATATGAACACTAACCAATGAGAAAAGGATGGTGAGTGCACCAGGACCAGTAAATATGACTAAACCTCATGCTGAGGGAGAGAAAATCATGGCATTTTATCCTGATATCACTCGGCATTTACAAAACCTGCTTTATTTGAATGCCATGTC